CGTAATGTTTTGCAACATCTATGTTAGCTTCTGTAAGAAGTTGTTTTATTTCCGAGTGTTCTAACTTAGACAACTTCCGATACATCTTTAGTAGGAAATAAAAAAATTTCTTAGAAAAAAATTAGCTTAGATTTTTTAAGGCTAGTTTTAAAATATTTCGAACTTTTTATTATAATGAAACACATGCAAGATTGCAAGTTCTTTTCATACAATGTTCTCGCTACTGCCATCAAGAATGAGTTCAATAATGCTTCAAATGTTAATGTTATCTTTAACAAGAAGTTTGTGAAAGAATCTAAGTTTGGTCAGTATGTCAGACCATTAGCTATCGTCATTGACCGCAAACGTTATACTTCACAAGAGTTAGCAGTAGTTTTGAAACAAAAGAGTTTCTTCGTGAATGTCAAAGATACTCATTATACTGTCATAAAGAACTCTAACATTGACTTCTTCAGTATTGCTTTAAATCTTTCCGAACAGAAAGAATATAAGAAGGGTGAAACAAATGTGAAATATTATCCTTCATCTCTGAAGACAATAACGAACAAAGATGTTATACAGAAATTCTTACCAAAGGTTGAAGAAGCTTCTATTGACATTGACGAAGGAAGTGAAATGGTTGAAGAAATAGACCCTGAAGCTATTTAAGCAAATTTATTTTTGAAGAACTGATGGTGTCACTACGTCACCATGTGTCACCAGGTTAATTAACTTCTCTTAAAAATGATGACAACATGACATTTTGACAACACAGCAGGATTAATGCAAAAATGAATGTTATCGTTAATGTTATCGTTAATGCTTACAGTGTCGAACATAATTGACGTAGGATTCATGACTTCTTCATAAATGAGTGTAAATATAGCACAAAAATATATTTTAGGTGAAGAGGTGAGATCTCACCCGTTTTTTCACCTCTTTTTTCACCTCATTCTCTCTTCGTTAATGTTGTCGTGACTTCATTCTTCCTCTTTGAAGTTGTCGAAATATTCTGTTATTTTTTCCTTCAGTAATGGTAAGTCTTCTTTGAATGTAAGTATTGTGCAACCTTTGATGTCATAGTGTGTTTGAGGAAGAGTACTTTTGACAATTTCCTTTGTTTGCTCATTCGGTGTCATTGAAATCGGTAAGTTTTCACGATAGAACCAATTTCTGTCAGATTTGTAAATCTTAGCAAGGTCATAAAAGCTCTTGTTGTTTCTTCTGACTAAATGCAACATAACCATATCTTTATCTTCTTCTTTCTCCAACTCTTCAGTATATATCATATACTTATAACTCTTTTCCTTTCCTTTTGGTACTGAACGTGGTATTCTTTTCTGTATGCTTTTGTCTTTGGATTCAATGACTTCATCTTTTGCATGAAGTTTCTTTTGCATATCTTCACGTTCTGCTTTATATAGTTCATCTAACATCATGAAAATATAACAAGCATAACGAGGTGAAGCCCACATTGCTACAGCATTTACTAAAAGTCTATGAACATAATAACCTTTCAAACCAGGAGCCAAATTCTTGCGATTTTCGTACGGAATCTCTTCTCTCGGTTTTCCGAGGGAAGCAATCATATGAGGAAATTCTTCTAAAAGTTCTTTTGTCTGTTGGTTTTCAAACCAATGATATGCTTGCTTTGTAGAACGAAGAGCGTTCATTATACTCTGCATTTGGTACATGTCATCTTTGACTGAACGAATGAGTCTCAATTGTTTGTTATACTGTATGTATTCATATTCTTCATTAATGGCTTCATGAACGATAGCAGTTGTTGTGTTCTCTGATGTTGACATATCTGTCTTTATATTCCGGATAAAAAAATATTTTATAAAAAACTAACGTTATTTTCTATCTTTCACAAAAGACCAAAAATAAACGCTTTACATGTATTTTTCAGCAACTTCGTCAAATAATTTTATAGCTTTATCTATCTCATCTACTTCGAAAGTTTCTTTACCTTTCATGGGAGCACCATACATTTTCTCAAACTTTTCAAGTAGTTCTGTTTCTGCAGCTCTCATATCATTAACGAACACAACCTTGACTCTATTGACTGTACTGTCATATCTTTGAGTTATATTATATGTTATTCCTATCTTATATCTCTTTGTATTGAAGTCCTTCGGTTTCTGAACGATGTAAAGTAAGCCTTCACTGCAACGTTCCGTATCGAATGAACCATAAGTTATGAAGTTATATCCAACAACTGGGTCAATCCATAACAAAACTATTGGTATAAGACTTTTGTCAATGAGATATGCTGTAGTTCCATAGAATCTTACTGATATCATAAGCTCAGGATTTCTTGTCAAAATTTTCTGAGCTGAAGCATTTCTAACCCAATGGTTTGTTTTCTTTTCAGATGGAGATATAATGTCTGACAAAGAATATTTGTTGTATTTCTTTGAGTATCTTACGTTTAAATCACCTATTCTAACCACTTTGGTGTCATTGTCAATCTTTCTAACTGTTTCAAACTCAACCTTTAACATTACTGTTCTTACATACAAGATAAAAATTTTTCTTAGAAAAAAATTAGCGTTATTTTTTTATCTTAAGGAAAATTCATGATTTTTGTTGCTGAATTCAATAAAAATATATTTTAGGTGAAGAGGTGAGATTTCACCAGTTTTCTCACCTAATTTTTCACCCCAGTTATTTTATAAGCGTTTTACATGAATTGTACGATGTATATTTGAAATTCTAAACAATTTCGTAGCTTCTATTTCTTCTGTCAGTATGTCAAAAGTTTTAACAATGCCGAAAGTTTCTTTATACTTCTTCTTGACATCAGATAATAGGAAATCGTCAGCTGTTGGATAGTTTTTGTTCAGAAATGCTAACATGTCCATTTTATCTTCTGCTGGTTTCTCTACTTCTTTCTTTAAGTCAGCATAGTCGTTTCTCATACGTTCTATCTCTTTGACGGAGTAGTTATATTTCCTCATTGCTGCTTTACATTTTGAACATTGCGGATTCATTTTTGCGTTATACATTGAAATTTGACCTGCTAGAACAACTAAGGCGTCAATGGTTTTCTTTAACTCAAAAGTTGTTGGTTTTATTTGTCCATTCCATATTTTACATCTTTTATCTTTATCTCTTATCTGCCATACACATTCAGCAACTAATGAAACAAAGTTGTCGTATGTCTTAAACTCCCCAGATTTATATATGTCAGAGATGTTCTTATATACCATGTCGCAATCTTTGTCCATAACTTTATGGTTGCAATGATATCCTAGAAACTCATAGTTTACTTTACGTATGAACTTCTTTATTTCTACTGAGTCAGTTGGTTTCACTTCTATTTCATCGAATTCATGAATAGTGAGCTTTGGTTGTTGGATTTCAGGCAATTTGGGTAAATGGTCAATAATGTCCTGCATGTCATAAAGATACTGTTCATTTGTTTCATCTTTCGCACTACAGTCTAAATTACTTGTTAAAAGTTCTTGCTTAATTCTTTGTATTTCTGTCTCAAAAGTATATGAAGAAGGAATGAAGCTTTTCATCTCTACTAACATAGATGTAGGATTCATGACTAAAGAGTTTGGTGCTGTAGTTGTTTGAATTGTTGTAGAACCTATTGTTGAAATCATATCTTTACATACAAGATAAAAAAATAAATAAAAATAAAACTAACTTTATTTTTTCTATCTTAAGGAAATTCATGAAAATTCACGAGACCCAAAGGGTCTGAGCCGCTAAGCGGTGAGGGTGAGAAAACAGGTGAAAAAACAGGTGAGAAAACAGGTGAAATCTCACCTCTTCACCTAAAATATATTTTTGTCTGATTTACATCCAATGAAAAAGTTTAGAAGAATTTTCTTATTCTTTCTGGTAAATGCTTTGTCTGATTTACATCTAATGAAAAAGTTTAGAAGAATTTTCTTATTCTTTCTGGCTTATTTTTGTCTTTCCAGTACTCCCGCTCTAATGGTCCCAGATGTGTTGGTTTAGATTCTCTCAAGTTCTTAGATGGTATAACATCTTCAACACCTCCTTCATATCTTACTTTATAAGTGTCATCGTTTATGTTGTAGCCAAGTATTTCAATAACCACTCCTCGCTTTGCTTCGTCAATGGTTTCAGCAAGTTTGCCATTACTACTTTCAACTAATTTATGATGAGGATAAAACGCAATAGAGTCGTCAGCAGCTTTTATAAGATATCCATTACCTTGCGTAGAGTCTACGATATAATAGTTTCTACTTAACCTTAAACGTTTCTTTGTCAACGGTTTGTCGTCAAGAACTACACGAACTTTTGTACCAGGAATGAGAGTAAATTGTGTTGAATTTCTGATATTTTGTGTTTGACTTCGTTTCTTTTGTATATACTTTTCTTCTTGTTGTTGTGTCATTGAATTTGGTGTATGTCCTGTTGTAGAATGTGTTAAGGAATTATATACTTCGAGAAAATGTTTCATTGTTTCTTCGGTAAAGTCTCGCTCTTGGTTTAAATCTCTGAGAGTCCTTATGAAGCGGTTTATGATGCCGAGTATGTTATGGTTATGGTCTTCAGTAGTGTAGTGAGTTATGTTATGCTTAATGAGAAATTCTGTGATTTCATTACTGAGGTATGCACTGTCTTGGTCTGATGTTAAAGTACTTGGGCTATGTTCTGCTACAAACTTTTGTAAAACTCTTAAAACTTCATGAGTTCCTTTATTTTTCATTGGATATGCATATGCTTTGCGAGTGTTAACATTAATGAAGATGAGGAATGGTTTATGTCCTCCTTTTCTGCTTTGAATGAGAGTGTCAAATTGGTATGCGTCAGGAGTGTTGGAGTAAATTGGTAAAAAGTAGTCGTAAGGGTTTATTTTTGTTTGATGTACAACATTTTTGTCAAAGAACCTTTTCACTTCAGCTCTGTTAGTAAATCCCCAACTCTTTGCAGCTTCATTGAACTTCTTAAATGACCTCCATGGATGTTGTTCGAATACTTCTTTCAAGCTCATTTATGTAAAGTTAAAGATTTTATTCTAGGCTCAAGCGCGTTCATTGAACGCGGTACCATGCGAATACAGTCACAAATGGTGGCATGTAATCTGCACCCGAGCCTGTTGGATTTGTTGTGAAAGTGTGTGAATGATTTCCTCCTGGTTCAGTTGGTCGAAAAATCTTTTTTGCTGCATTGTTATAAGATGGAGATAAAACGTCATTGCCAGCTTCATATTCTGAGTTGTATAATGGGTGGTCTCTTAATGAGTGGCTATGGTCGCCAGAAAAGTTTGTAGTTCCTGTATGAGTGTGCGGTGGAAGGTTTGCTTCTTTAATTTTCTTCGAACCACCTGTTTGCTTTGAATATCTAGCACAGTATAAGAATTTATCTACAATCTGCTTCCACGTACCAAAACCTAAAACACTTGCTGGATTTGTTGAGTTCATTGACGTATAAATCGAGCCAACAGGATATAATGTTTGAAGTATTTCAGTCTTTAATGTTTGAAGCTCATGTTTAACATTTATAAATCCATCGCCATCTACAATATTTATATTGTTTGTTATTAAACCATTAGGAAAAGTAGGAGGATAAATATTTTGTTCAACTAAAGGTGTACCGTCTCTTCCTGTTTTTGTTACTTTTTCAATGTATGCATTAATTTCTTTAATCCTGATTGTTTGAAATTCTTCATGCGTATGGTTTTTATCTGCTTTGTTGTCATATAAATCTTGAGCAGTGAATTTAACGTTATTTTCATCATTCATGACATAAACATTTTTACATCTAATGTCTTTCTTCGTTGTTATGTTTTCATTCGATGTTAAACCTTGTGGAAAGTTAGGAGGTTTATAATATAAAGCATCCCCATCAGTTCCTTCAACCGTTCCTTCAATACTTTCTATACCAACAGTTGTGAAGAATTCATGTGTATGATTTTTGTCAGCTTTCTTATCTAACATTGCTGGTAGTTCATGTGCTTCAAAGTTTCTGGCATGACCTTCAATGTTCCTGCAACTGTTATCTAAACTGTTAAGCGAGTCTTTTACGCTAGTGCTTGGATTCTCTAAAGGCGCACTTGAACCAAGGTCAAAGTTCAGTATTATGTCATCAGCTCTAACAGTTGTGAAGAATTCGTGTGTATGGTTTTTGTCTGCTTTGTTGTCTAAAGAAGTTTGAAGTTCATTTATATCGGAGATATTGTGTTTATGAGATTTCAAAACTTTGTTCATTGCGTCAAGTTCATTTTTGTCTGCTTTACTTTTAATAGCATCTTCAAAAGTTATTTTTGCCTTAACTCTTAACATAAATCTTGGTTCAACTAATACACCGTTAACAAAGAAGTATGAAGCATAAATTTCAGCGTTATAACCAAATGTTTGTGGTGCTATACCTGTGTCATACTGTACAGTACAGTGTATGTCATAACCTTTAGTACGAATGAATTTATATCTTCTTTCATTAACATCTTTCGTCTTCACTTCTTCATCCTGTGTTAAATATCCATGGTAATCCGTTATAATCTGTTCGTCTGAAGTTATATAATGAACATGGTTTTTATCTGCTTTTTCGGCTAATTTCTCATTAACATCATTCACTTCTAATTCAACTCTTCCGCCAGAACTCTTATTATCATTAATCTTTTTCATTAATTCGGTAATTACGTCATAAAGACTATATTCTGTTTTCGGTTTTGTAAATAATGAGTCAAAATTTCTTTTCATCATTACATCGCTGACATTAATGATATCACCAATTCCTTTTTCATTTATTCTCTTCATTAATTCTGCAATAATGACGAATATATAATCTGTTAATTTATTCTCTTCATTGAGGGTTATAGAATGATTTGAAATCGAATCATTAACACCTCTAAATAAATCAATAACTTCAGGATACACGTTTTTAATGTCTCGAATAACCCGACCCGTATCCTGTTGTTCATGTTCTTCGTTCCCGTCGTTACGTGGTTTTATGTCTCTAACCATCATCAACGCAGTCATAACCGGTGGGTTTGTTGCTATCTGTTCGAAAATCCGTCCGTTATGTACGGTATATCTAAATAATTTCTTTGTGTTTGTCAAAACATTTGAAACAAGTCTTTTAAAACCATCTACAAAATTTCCCGTTTCACCTAATGTTCTTGCAGCATTTACAAGCTCACCCATTCCAGCTTTTGACCCCAAAAACGTCCATATTGCGTTTATTTCACTCTGTATTGTTGTCCATTCAGCGAAATTAATACCCGCATTCGCTAAGCTGAAAATGAAATTCAGTGGATCGAACTTAATTCCACCTTCTTTTTCAATTTCAACGAACTCACTAACATGAGATTTTAAGTATTCTTTCGTTAAAATTGTTTTCCCCGATGTTATGTCATTAACGAAACTATCACCGTCAAAAGTTAACGAATTCAATTTCGTCATTGGTGCTTTTATTTCATACACCGCTTTATCTATAGTTTTTGGCTTACCTTCTTTAGAAGTGTATGAAACATTAATGAATGAATTATATGTATTCATGAATGAATTAAAATCAATGATTTTCATTAATGACGCCTTTAATGATTCATTTACTGTCGAATCCCTTAATTCAATTAATGAACTGTCGTTAATGAAAGGTACACTGCAAACCGTTGAGTTTGGATCAAATGCTGTAGTCGGCTGGGGAGTATTAATGATATAAGTCATTAAATCATTAAGTGATGCAAATAATGTTGTCGTTTTTGATTTAATTTCTTTAGCATCTGTTTTATACGGTAATTTTATTTCTGTAGTTTCTGAATTAAAGATATTCGCTAAAATGTTTTGTAAACTGTTTTGAACAGCTGTGTAAACCGTTGAATCCGGAACTCTTACGATTTCACCGTCCTTAATAAAAGGCATTGCACATGGTGTAGTGCTTGGGTCAAATCTTTCGGGATTATGATTCAATATATATTCTAATGCTTCATAAACAGACCCATATACGGTTGTATTATCTTTTTCAATAACTTCACCATCCTTTATAAACGGCATAGTACATGGAGTTAAAATAGGGTCAAACTTTTCATAGTCCTTCCATGTTATGTATTTCTCAGTATTTCCATCAGAAATAACAATATATTTGTCAGTAAGTGTGAGAGAGTATTGACCAAAATATAAACGTTTAGCTCTGTCAGCTTCATACGCATATGCAGCTATACTCATATTTTAATGAGAATAAAATGTTGTTCTATTTACAAAGTACAGACCCGAACGAATACGGAACAGTAAAACTACAAACAAACTTAGGTCTACAGAATGAGGCGCTTGCATTCAGAATGGTTGACTTCAATACTATCGCTTCATTCGTTATAACAGATGAAACAGATTTCATGGAGATTGAAATAGATGGAAAGAAGCACGAAATAAGATTTCACAATAATGTAGAATATAAGATGGAAACATTAGCTGGAGTGTTAAATGCTCTCATAAATACTACAATAAACAAGGATAACGAAGAAAACTTAATGAATGTTAAACTTATTGCAGGAGTTTTGAAGTTCAGTTATGTGAAGGAGTTTAAGATAACACGAATGAGTCATAGAGTTCAATTGCTTCTGGGAGCATACCATATGACATTTCCTTTGAAAAGTGTTTGACAAAACGATTGAGATGAAATCTGTTCCATACGTATGTTATGGTAATTGTTTATACATTGAGTCAAAAAAATAGCTAATGTCACAGGCATTTCAGGAGTTAATAGTAAAGGTTCAGTAGAATATAAATCCTTCTTATGCAGTCAATTCAATGTTCATTCCAAACGTTCCTGTCATAGCAACTCATTTAGGTAAATGGGTTCGCATTAGTCCTCATAATTTGAAAGACATGCAATTCAGACTTGTTGACTTTCAAGGAGAGCCTGTAGAACTGAAGGCACCAGTGCGAATGACTGTTGAAGTTGACTTTTTAGAAAATATTAAATGCAACGCTTACAAGAGAACTCAGAGCTAAAAATATAAAGTATGAATGTTATGTATTAGGTCATGAACTTTGGTTGTTGCTGTTTGATGAAACAAATGAGTTATTAGTTGTCAGTCAAGAGAACAGAAAAATATTGTGTTAGTGAAAACCGCACCAAGTCAATAAGATTAGGTTTGCATTATGAAGATGAGTTCGATACTGTTGAAGAATTTTGGATAGATATTACAAATTGCTTTAATTTACTAAAACATATTTCAAACAAAGTTTATATTCTGTTGAAAGTTTTGTATATTCATTCGAATATTTATACTTAAACTCAACTCCTGCAGTTCCTGGTGTTTCAATGATGCGGATGTTACCTATTTTCATGAATAGTGGAGTTTGACCACAGCATTCGATTTCAGGGTCGAGATAGTCAATGACACATTGTTTCCCTGTTATTCGTGAGATAACATTTTCAAGGTCCTCCTTTGTTAGAATTATTTGGTTCTTACTTATAAGATTTGTCAAAAGCTTCTTATCGTCTTTGAGTAAAATTGTTTGGTATAACTGAAGAAGGTAATGGTCTACGTTATCTGAAGGATTTGTTTGAACATTTGTGTAAGGATTGTCGTTGGCTTCTCTTGAAAGAATTTGGTCCAGTGGTGGATACTCTAACTTAACATCTGATGTAGCGTTAGCGTTTGAAGCTGTGTTTAAATTCACCGACTTAAGTTCTGGTTCTTTTTCTTTCAAACACTCTGAACTATAGTTCTTTATGACAATATTGTTTGTCGTTCGTGAGTCAACATTTGATGTTGGTTCAATTGGAACATTAACGGCACAGCTAAGATGGATTTGCTTCTCATTTCATATAGAATAAAAACCTTTTATATGTATGAAATGAACAATATACTCGACAAGGGTTTGAATGTAAGCTAACGAATGAAAATATTGTTGAATTCACTGAGACAGGAGCTGTGTATAAAGATGTAGAACTACTGAACAAAAGAGCTAAGGGAAGAAGCAGGAACATGAACAAAGGGTGGAAGCCTATAAAAATTTATGTCAATGATGGCTCAGGAGGTTCAAACATAAAGTATGCAGAAAGTTATAGAGTTTATGCTCTCAAAGGTGAAAAGCCTTCATTTAAGAACAGCTATTCTAACGCATATCCTCAAAAGCTAACGGATGGGGAAGTGGATGATATGAATGACAGCAAAAATATTAACAGAAATGGCGACAGAGATGCATGGAATTTGTTTACCATCAGTCAATTGAAGGTTAAACTTTAAAACAATGTTGGTCGTTCCCATGGAATATTTTTGACTTTAATGGTATTAGTCATGATATGAATCTCAAGGTATGAACGAGGAGAGATGAGAGACTTATATGCTTCCCAAATTTCTTCAAAAGGTAATGTTATACCTGACTGTTTCCAAATGAGTTCAATATCATAGCGTGAGAAACCTTGAAAGATAACGAAGTCAGTTATGAGACGTTTTATGTTTAAAGCTAAAAACCTCCATGTTTGCATAAGTATTGCTACAGTTAAGTGGTAATGTCTGACTTTAGTAATGATGTTAGCTAATGGTGAGTCTGGTTTTGACACTAAACCTTTTCCGGCGAAGTCGTCGCAAACGAGCAGAGTGTTTGAAGGATATTTTTTGAAGGGGTATTTTGAAAGTTTTGACAGAATGTAGTTTGTAAGTCGTTTCATATCGTAAACTCCTGAGTACTGACGTAAGTGGTGTTTGTCAATAATTCTTTCCATCTCCTCAGAAGTCTTTTGCATTCCTGACTGTATAAATTCAACGATGGCATAATATTTCCTCTTACGTCGAATGTAACGTTGAAGAAATTCAATGAGTTCACTGTCTGGAACTTTAATGACAGAGGCTTGAACTTTTGACATAAATGTTTTCGCTGTTGAGTCCATAGAGTCTGAAGTTGCTGATATAATGATTTGGTCATAGTAAGAGTCATTTCCTAAACGTTCTGTTATAAGAATATGACGAATGAGGTTAAATGTCTTACCTGAACCCATCTTTCCACAATAGAAATAAACACCATTTGAACAGAACTCATAATCCTTACTGAAAGGAAGAATAAGAGAAGAGTTAAGTTTGTCTGTAGTTTCATTCATGTCTTCATCTACGTCATGTATTAAATGCTTCATTTTATCTCCATTAAAAATGCAAGTCAGAAATATTCAGAACATAGCACCGAGTCTAACTGACAAGAGTATAAAGATATACTATGAACACGTTATGATGAAACCTACCAAAATTCAAGAAAGTCAGTATACTTATGAATATCCAAGACACTGGGTAGAGTATGTAGGAGGTGAGAAAGCTATTGAAATAAGACAAGTTAGAAGTATTCCAGCAGGAAGAACAATATTATTGAAGAACTTTAATGTTTTGAGGTATAATGATGAAACAAAGAAGCAAGATAGTTTCCCTGTTGCTGTGTATGTGAACTTAGATACAGGAGATGACATGAAATTTTAATACAAAGCTTCAAACGGTAGTGAGAGAACAACTGACTGCGGAAGGACATCCATTACCTTCAGAAGTTAGCATAGCATATAATTTTGAAACAAACACAATAGATTTTAAAGTCATCTCTGCAAAGAAGTCAGGATTTACATTTAATGAAGCAGATGTATATTCGAATGAAAACTTCAAAGCTATTGCATGGTTAGATAATGACGATTGTTTTAAGAAAATATTTAAATACAGTGACTCAACGATGTCAATAGATGACCTTCGTGGAATGTTACCATCGACGTTTACAGTTGAAGGTTCAGCAGGATTGCTTACAAGATTGTCAATTGGTGGCGTTTGGTCTCGTGAGAACATTGTTATAAAATCCAGTATAAGTGAATTTGCTGAAGAATCTATATTATGTCTTTCAAACTACATGTATTCGCCACCGAAGCATTATAGTATAACAAACTTTGTCAGTAAGTTTAACATAAGACTTGTCGAACCTTCTTCAATGAAAGATGTTGTGCTACCTAAAGATGGAAAGGATGGACTCATTATTGAGATGATTTTAATTGCATATTAAATGAGCTTGTTCTTGAAAGTCATTCATGATGAAATAACTGTTGTAGAAGATGTTAGCAATTGTTCAGACATTTTGAAGCGAATAGATGAGATAAGAAAGAAGTTAGATAGACCGCAAAGCGGTGAGGGCGAAGCCCGTGAGAATGTTTATGTTTCATTGACTTTCTCCAGTAACGAGAACTTTTATGAGATAATATTGAAGAGAGATGATTTTAATATGGTGTAAATGGTAGCTTGGGCAGCTTTAGGCGCAATGGGAACAAAAGCATTAGCATTTGGAACGAAAGCACTTGGAGCTTATGACGCAGTAAATAAAATGAGTGGAGGAAGGGTTTCAAAGACATTAGATGCAAATAAAGGGAAGATTGGAGGCTGGGTTGCAAAGAAGTTAAGATTAAATAAAATAGGGCTCATAAATAAAGCATTCAATTTGGTTGCGACTGAGTCAGAAAATGCTTTAGGAAAGGACGATGAGTTTGCAAAACACGCAAAAGACTTTAATGACCAGATGAAAGGTGAAATAATGCATTTAAATAGAGTCGATGGAACTAAAGAAAATGTTTCTTCTCCACTAGTAGTTTATCCATACGGACCTTATGGAATGTATGGAAACCCTTACGAAAGACCATTTGACCCATTGACTGGTGGAAGTAATTGGTATCATTACGGCCGAAGAAGAAAGACAGTCAAGCTGGAGACAGACGTGAAGAAAGCAACTAAAAAGAAACCAAGGAAGAGAGTTATAAAACAATGAGAACGTTTATGTTATGAGAAATTTTTAACGTTAGTTTTATTTTTACTGAAAATTTTTATTTGGATGTAATGACGAAAACTATTGAGATAACAAACTACAACGGTCATGAGTTCAAGAACTTGTTCTTCGTTCCTCATGAAAATACATTCTATCAGATACGAGGGAGAAAGGGTAAAGTTAGTTTGAGCGTTTACGACAACAAACATAATGGGAGATATATAAAAGCAATAGATACAAACGGTAAGCGTGTTTCATTAGCTTTGTCAAAACTTACTAACATTTATTTTGACAGTGACTTTGACTCTGACGATTGGAGTGACAGCAGCGATAGTGAAGAATATGAACTGTTGTGTGAAGCAAAGCAATGGGAAGAGTTGCAATACTTTTGTAAATGAGAACGTTTATTTTTTTACAGTAGTAAAGTCGTTAGTGAAAACGTTAGTGAGGTGAAGTGGTTGGTGGTTTTGTAAATATTTAAGGTTAAATTAGTGTTGTTTTGTGTTGTAAAATATACGTTAGTGGTTTTGTAAAGTGTCAAACCGTTATCTTGGGTAAGGTGGGACGCAGTGCCGCCGTATCCAAGATAACCATACTAACTGAAGCAGATTGTAGATAAATTCTTATACTGTGCTAGATATTCAAAGCAAACAGGAGGTTCGAAGAAAATTAAAGAAGCAAACTTACCCCCGCACACTCATACAGGAACTACAAACTTTTCTGGCGACCATAGCCACTCATTAAGAGACCACCCATTATACAACTCAGAATATGAAGCTGGCTATGATGTTTTATCTCCAGATTATAACCATTCAGCAAAAAAGACTTTTCGACCAACTGAACCAGGAGGAAATCATGTCCATACTTTCACAACAAATCCAACAGGTTCGGGTAAAGATTATATGCCACCATTTGTGACTGTATTTGCATGATACCGCGTTCAATAAACATACTTGAGCCTACTTTGCAGGCTTACCGAATGAACTAAATATATTTTATGTTTGTAATTAATTAGGTAATGAAGTAATGGATGAACTGCAGAAATAAATGTTTACATTAATGTTTACGTTAATGTTTTCAGGTTATTCAATAATTAATTATTTTTGAAGAACTGAAGGTGTCACTATGTCACCATGTCACCAGGTTAATTAACTTCTCTTAAAAAGTGTGACAACATGACATTTTGACAACAGTCGGGGAAATAAATGTTTACGTTAATGTTTACGTTAATGTTTTCAGGTTATTCAATAATTAATTATTTTTGAATAACTGAAGGTGTCACTATGTCACCATGTCACCAGGTTAATTAACTTCTCTGAAAAAATGAGACAACATGACATTTTGACAACAGTTCAGGAGGAAGGCATTTATGAATTATTTTTATTTATTTTTTATTTTGTATGTAAGAACAGTAATGTCGGTCGAAGCAAAAACATTCACTAACAAATCTAATGGTGAAACATTCACAAAAGGCACTTATAACGGTATTGAAGTCTTACGTAGAGACAAGGATAGTTACATTAATGCAACAAAGATGGCAAGAGAAGTAGGAAAGTTAAACCATTTAAACAGATTTCTCAATAGTGCTAAAATGCAGGAAATTCTTGAGTTTTGGTTGAAAGAATACGGTGGAGCCAAAAGTGGCTCGACCTCAAAACAAGCATTTTATGAGCTTACAAAGGGTGTTATAAATGAATTCAAAGGTATTTACATACATCCTGACCTCGTTCATTTTGTTGCTGAATGGTGCTCTGTAAAGTATGCATTTTATGTCAAAGATATTATGGATTCCATAGACAAGAAAGTTCATGAGAAGTTAGATGAAGAAGAACTCGAAGATACAGTAGAGAATGCTAAACCTTTGTTCGAACAAGAAGTTAGAAAAATGTGCGAAAAACAATTAGAACATGAACGTGAGATATGTTATGGTTATAGAGATTCTCCATTCGAACTAGACCAATGGGAACAAGAAAATTTAAAGAGAGAATTTAGAGAATATGAACTCGCTAAGATAGCATTAGAAGCTGCAGAAAAGAAGTTAAAAGCTTGGGGTCGTTTTGTACAAAAATATTGTGAGTAAATGTTTTCAGGTTATTCAATAATTAATTATTTTTGAAGAACTGAAGGTGTCACTATGTCACCATGTCACCAGGTTAATTAACTTCTCTTAAAAAGTGTGACAACATGACATTTTGACAACAGTCGGGGAAATAAATGTTTACGTTAATGTTTACGTTAATGTTTTCAGGTTATTCAATAATTAATTATTTTTGAAGAACTGAAGGTGTCACTATGTCACCATGTCACCAGGTTAATTAACTTCTCTTAAAAAATGAGACAACATGACATTTTGACAACAGTCGGGGAAATATGATGCAGTCCAAAAATAAAGTTAGTTTTAAAATTATTTTTATTTATTTATTCCTATATAAATGACAGCAACAAACAACAACAGCAACTTTATCGTTTCTGATGAAAAAGTTATTGATTCATTAGCTGAGGAATTAGTTGTGGCAGAAACTAAAACCCTCAACGAAAGAATTGGTGAAAACAAGATTGATTTACATAACTACCTCAAACACGATGGAGGAAGAGGAAGGAAAACAGGTACAGCTTTATTAGCAAATAAAATTTCAAATTTAACGATTATAGATGTTGATATCAATAAATCGTACAATGATGAACTTAAAGAAACAGTTAGAAAAGATATTTTATCAAAACTTTCGGATAAAGATGTTATCGTTAAAACCGCTTCAGGAGGTCTTCACATTTATTGCAACACTAATTTCTTCTATTCAATCTCGAACAGAATGATTAAATGTTATTCTTGCAATGATTATGATATCGACATAATGACTTCTATTGATGATTCAAAACGTTCATTAGTAGTTATGGCTGATTCAAGAGTTCGCAAGAATGCAACAGAACCAATCAAAACATACTCATTCATTCGTGGAAGTTATGATTCAACATTAACTAGAACAGTGAATGATATATTAAATGATTTGAATATTAAGGTAAGAGTTGAACAGAAGAACGAAGAAATAAAGACTATCATGAATGAAAACAAAGATGTAAACATTGACGATAAACTTGCCAGAGCATAGTTGATGGCATCTGTGATTTTGAAGTACATAATGACGGTGGAAACATGAATTTAGAAAAAGAAATAACATTATTCACACTGTTTCAAGCTATTAATTCGTTACCGGATCATTTAATTAATGAAGCATACGATAACGTTTATAACTTCTGCAATTTAACTGAAAATGCAAAAAGTAATTTTGAAAAAGCACGTAGTAGATATGCACATTTAATGACTTCTCCATTTGTTTTAGTGAAGATTCTAAAACTTTATCAAAAGGAATATTATGATGAATATGTTTTACCTTTATTACGTAAGCCAAAAATAACATTTGATATCAAACTTGATGACTCGTTTTTGATAACAGATATTAGACGCAAGGCTGAAAATCATCAGTATAAAAACAGTTCTGAAGTAATTGAGGATTTATCACGTGTAATCCGTTTTGTAGATTGTGGAAATAAATATTTCATTCAAAAGGACTATAATATCCACGACAAAATGAATCAAATATCATTCGTTCTTCAATCAAACATGAAAGAGTCACTCAAAATGATTAAATTATTTAAAGAAGAAGGTAAAACCATAACAGCATGGGATGTACTACTAAATCAATTATCTTCATTAACTGTTAAGGGTGTTTGCTTTAAATCTGATTCCCCAGATGTTTTCTCAACGTTTCAAGGTTATAAATACAACGTTCTCGAAAAACCAGATTACTCAAAAATTGAGATGTTTATGAATTTCATTAAAGAAGCCATTTGTGATAATAATGATGAAGTGTATAAATACCTTCTCGGTTGGATTGCATCAATGATTCAACATCCTGGAATCAAGAATGAAACAGCAATTATTTTGAAAGGACTTCAGGGAACAGGTAAAAACAGATTTACAGACATTATTTCTGAACTCCTCGCTGGTTATTCATGTAAAAACATTACTGAAATAAGTGAGCTAACGGGTAATTTCAATTCAGTAGTTGAGAATAAAATGTTTCTTGTACTTAATGAACTCAAGAATGTAGGTGAAGATAGACTCGCAAACTTCAACGCTTTGAAATCAATTATTACGGATAATGAGATTAGAATTAATGAAAAGAATCAACCCAGAAGAACTGCTCAGAATGTTGCCAATTTCATTTTGGTAACTAATAACGTCTACCCTGTCAAAATTGAAGTTGGAGACAGAAGATACGTAGTTTTAAGAGTTAATGGTAAATTCAAGGGGCAATTTGATTACTTCAAGAATTTAATGGATTCATGCACAAAGGAATTTTATGATAATTTACTGACGTATTTTATGCAATATGACCTTTCATCATTTAATGTACGAATCATACCGATGACTGAAGCCAAACAAGATTTAATTGAATTATCAACAAATCTTTTAGATGTATGAATAAATACACATTATGATGAATTGTGTGCAGGTATGACGTGTAAAAATGCTCTATTCTGCAAACCATCAGACATGAAAGACAAGAATTTCCAAATGAGCATTAAGGATAAATGTGATAGGAAACAGAGAAGAATAGATGGTAAACAAACATGGTGTTATGTTTTGAAAGAAGAAATGAAAGGATTATATAAACAGGTTGAACCAAACGATAATGAGGATTCATTTACTGACGATGAAATACCTGTAAATGAAGCTTTATAAAGTATGATTTGAATTTATTTTTGCATTAATCCAGCTGTGTTGTCAAAATGTCATGTTGTCTCATTTTTTAAGAGAAGTTAATTAACCTGGTGACATGGTGACGTAGTGACACCTTCAGTTCTTCAAAAATAATTCATAAATGCCTTCCTCCTTTCGTACCTATGTTGTCAAAATGTCATGTTGTCTCATTTTTTAAGAGAAGTTAATTAACCTGGTGACATGGTGACGTAGTGACACCTTCAGTTCTTCAAAAATAATTCATAAATGCCTTCCTCCTTTCGTACCTATGTTGTCAAAATGTCATGTTGTCTCATTTTTTAGGAGAAGTTAATTAACCTGGTGACATGGTGACGTAGTGACACCTTCAGTTCTTCAAAAATAATTCATAAATGCCTTCCTCCTTTCGTACCTATGTTGTCAAAATGTCATGTTGTCTCATTTTTTAGGAGAAGTTAATTAACCTGGTGACATGGTGACGTAGTGACACCTTCAGTTCTTCAAAAATAATTAATTATTGAATAACCTAAAAACCATTAACGATAAAATAACTGATAACAAAATTTTATTTTTATATAGATGGATACCCCACAAGCTCAAAATTTACCACGAATCATAACAAGGGAGGAAATGATAAAAATGATGCAAGAACGAATTAAAAACAACAAACCACGAAAACCGAGAAGATGCGGTTATGCAGTAATGATGGAAAGAAGAACCTAGAAGGGTTTGGGAAGAGGAATAAAAATTAAATTTGGATTGAGTTTAAAAATTCATCTTTATTAAATTCATCTCTTCCAATCAATTTATTTATTCTATTAAATTCTTTTATTTTTGCTTCACTCAGTTTAAGGATTGAACGGTAAGTTTCTAATTTTTCGATTATTTCTTTCCTCTCTTTATCGTTTTCAGCCCCACCGCATTGCGGCTTCTTTTTGTAATAGCATATTTTTGATTTAATTCTGTTTAGTTTCTTTTTATATTCATTGTCTGGACTCTTGGCTGCTTTGTTGTCACTCATTTCTTACGAATTAAAAAAATTAAATAATATTTAAATATAATGGAGTAATAAAATAAATTGGAATTTCTATTAATTTATTGTCAACTTCAACTAATGCATTACCGTTAATATATCTAACAAATTCAGCTATTGTGTCAAATCTTCGTCTTCTTTTTGTCATTGATTTATCAGTTTTTCCATAATCGAGATGAATCAAAACTTTATCCCCTTGTTTAAAATTCATGAGCCCCGAATTAATTTGTTCACGTTTAACATCATTCAACCTTTCCATTTGCTTTCTAATATATTCCCATTCTTTTGAAATATCATTTTTCATTTCCACTGGTTTCATGTTTATTGTTCTATGCCATGTATTATTGTAATAATATACTAACTGTTGTATGATGGAGTCATGATTTCAAAAATAAAAGGAGTGGTTAGTTTGAAATCTATTCCTCAATCAAGAATCACCTCATTAATGAAAATAGATGATTTAACAAAAAGAATAGAAGAGATTGAAGAAAGAATGAATCAAATAATTGATTTCATAAATTCAAATAATCATTAGTTTCTTAAATAATATATCCTTTATTTCCTCGTTTGTGAATCCTAATGTTTTCACGTCGTTAGTTTTGACGCTCATTTCTTACAAAATAAAAAATAAATTTTCATAAATGTAAGACATGAATTTTTAAAGTTTATTTTTTATTCATGAAAATAATTATATCTGATTTCTTTTACTCTCTCATACATACTAGATTTGAAGAATTCGGAACTTTTACCATAATCTCCTAAATGTTTTCTTATCCCTAACGTGTGCCAGTTATTATATGAAACTGAATAAACTTTATCTTTATCTTTACACCTTTCATCACTTCCAATATATTTATATTTCAATTTTGATTTAGCATTTTCATATTCATTAACGTTTAATAATTCACAGTCTTCCTTTTTAAATAAATGTTTTATGTATTCAGGATTTAATACTCTACGTTTATATGCTCCTAACTTAGTTCTAAAGGTTTTTCTACAAAATTTAGGAATTCCATCCTCTTTAATGTCATCAATGATTTCCATTTCATTATTTTCAATTTCTTCTTCTCGTTTATGAGGTCTTTGATTATGACTCCATTGATTCCATGAAATTAAATATTCTTTATCATTATATTTATACCTCATTAGCTTATTTTGGCTTTCATATTCATTTAATAATTCACAATCTTCATTTTAAAATTGAAGTTTAACCCATTCAGGATTTAAACAATGTTTAATTAATCGTGGAATATCTGACATCATCTATATATAGCTTCTTTTATAAAAGATAAAAAATAAATTATTTTAAAATTAATGTTAATTTTTTAATGTGTTTAGTATATAAATATTTTAATGTATCGTCTATATATAGATGCAACAAAAAAAGTCACACAACCCGTCCGCATATACTACTTTTTTCGACCTCATTATTTTTCTGATTTATCTGTTGCATTATATCAAGGGTACAATAATGCATGATATGTCACTGTTTTTATCTAAAAATTCCATAGTATTTCTGTAAAAAATTTATCCATAAAAAATTTTTCCAATCGAAAGAAAAATCGAAAATTTTTGAAATTTTTATAGAACAATATTGTGACCGAAAATTCATTCTCGTTGCATACATCTCATTAAGGTAAAACATTATCTGAAACAACCATGTTTTAAAAAATTATAGATAACGAGATATTTGATACTTAATATCAATAAATTTTGAATGCCCTCTCAAAAATTGAATGGACGTCGGTCAACCCTTAAGGGTGCACACGAGAGGATCATGTAAACTTCAGAATTTAGAACCTTATTTTTAGGCATTATCTTGGCTACCTATTTAGGCTCGAAAAGCAAAAAATATCAAAAAATACAACTTGACTCCATTATGACCCTTTCATGGAGGTAGTTTTTATCCGCTAGTATTTTCCCTTTGAATCTCTTTACAATTCGAAATCAAATTCAAACCTCAGTAGAAGGAAGGAAGAATCGACTTACTACGGTTGTAATACGAATAAATACATATATTTAATTATTTTTATTTACATAATAATTGTTTGAAGCTCATATTCCATCAAATTTTTAAATAAAAACATTAAAATGTTGAAAATGTTCATATATTTTAATAGGATTTTGGCACTTTATTGAGGAATTACTACATACATAGTCGAACTGAACTTGATATTTTGAAATTTAAATTATTTATCAAAATTAAAATTTAACTTGAAATTTATAATTATTTAGTCATATTTTGCATAATTCTAAGTAGATTTTGTAAAAAATCAAGAAAGAAAAATTTTAACGTGATTTATTTTTTCTTTTTTATAATAATACATATTATTATATAATTAACATATTCATAATGTTTCACCCTTTCAAAAATATAATCCTCCTCCTCTCAAATAAACGTACATACGGGTGGCCTCTTTTTTCAAAAAATTAAAATTTGAAATTTTGGGCTCAAATATTAGAGATTTTTTCAACCTTCAACGATATATGTTGTCTATATCAGACCTCCTTTCTTTTTGATACCTAACATTGTTCCTAAATCTTAGCCGTTAAGGGTCCACTGTAAGGCCAAATAAGGCCTATCGTCGTCCCAAAAATATTGCTCAAGATGGTGTTTTTACTAAGGCCCAAAACTTAAAAAAACACAAAAAAATTAACTTTACTCTTTTGAGATCCTTATCAGATGTGCAACAATTTGATGCAGTATCGCAATTCGAATCCGATTTTTTAATGTAGATGTACTCTAACATTCTTGAAAAAATGCAAAATGATATTAATCAAGCTTTTCATTTCTGTATCATACACGAAACAAAATCATTCATTATACTAAAATTTATCAAAGTTTGAATAATGAAAAAAATAATATCTAAATTTTTACATTGAGTCGGCTATTGATATGGTCAATATTAAATCGTTTAAAAATGGGCATTGGCCAGAATAATACCCACTAAAATACACATTTTTTAAAATTTTATCAATTTGTTTTGGTATATCTTTATGATAATGAATAAAATGCTTATCTTTCATAAGTCAATACATAATTTATGCTGAAACACAAAAAATAACACGAAAATTTTTGGCCAACATTTCAAAACAAAGGATAATGCTTTGAATATATAAACAATAATACTTTGTCTAGAGAATTAAATTTGTGCTATCCAATTGTCAATTCTTTGAATTTTTTATAAAATGCACGATATTCCGGCATTAGCCTCAATAAATATAAACTACATGCATCACAATATTAGGATGTAATGGCATTAAAGCGAATTTCCTAATTTCTTCTCAATTAAATTCCTAGAAAAACTTAGGAACTGATGATTGGAAATAGGTCAAAAAAATTCCTAATATAAAATTTATACTTAAATTAAAATCAAAATTCGAAAATATCTATTTTTCAAAACACGCATCCAGAAGCGAAAAAATTCGAAAAAATCATGTTCTTATAAAACTCGCTGATTTTGCAATTTTTATGTGATTTGAAGTGATAGATTGTATTATCATCTTACTAAAACATATACTTTATTGTTACATTCACAAAATATTAATCAGAACACTAGGAAAAGTGGATTTTCAAAAAAAGACGATAACGATTATCTACAAATCGCCTCTCAATTTTGAGAGACTTTCAATTTTTACAGTGGACCCTTAAGGCTGTTCTGAAAATATTTTTTTCGAAAAAATTCGCAAAAAATTCTTAAAATTCAAAAATCCATTAATTCCTGAGGATTTTGGAAAAAAGTTTTTACATGAACATGTGTATATTATATGAAGTATATTGATAAGGTAAAAATCAAATTTTATTGCATATTCATCGAGAAAATAAACTAACGAATCCCTCAAAATTGAGAGGGTAATCCTCCTCCTCTCAAATAAACGTACATACGGGTGCACCCTTAATTGGTCATTAAAATTTCAACTTAATCTAATCACTAGAAATGAATATTTGCATGGCAAAAATTTAACGTGCATGATTTTATCTACGGGTTTTCATGTCTTTTCAGTTTTCACTGAATCGTCTAAAATCTCTTAAAATTAATGCAATATATAAAGATATATTAATATTTTTTTTGAATAGGCTCATAAAAATTCCTCTCATTATAATTTATTGTTCAGTTAATCAAAGTAATGCATTTTATATGATTTTTCTAAGAGATGTTAAATCATTACCAAGCATATATTTCAGGAACATCAATAGATCTAGAAAATAACTAAGTAATATACAATTTTAAATATCTTTTGTTTTCTATTCAGGTCATATATGCCGATAATCTCTTATCCAGAAGAAGTTTTTTTGTTATCATGTATTTTCAAATGACAAGAAATTTATTTTATTTATTTTCATTAATTATGACTTTCCGAATATAAACATTACAAAAGCTATTACATTGATACAAACATTTAGATCCTTATTGAAATATATTAATTACTTTTATTATTAATATTATTTTTTTTTTCTTTACTGAATTTCATTATTATTTTAATTGAATATTAATTTGATTATCCAAACAATATTCTTTTCCTCCTACCATATTAAACAGAAGTGTTTTTTTTTAAATATTTTTTCCCCCCTTAAAAAAAATGTTTTAGAAAATAATAAACTATTTTTAATACAGTACTTAAATTAGCAAATATAACAATGGTCTGTATTTTACACTCCTAATGAAAGTTAAGTAATGTATCAATGTTATTCAGATCAAAACACGTATTGCTTATCACTTTGAAATTTTCTGATGCTTGAGTTCCTTCAGCAAAGTTTGGAGCTGGATTGATAACACTATCAAGATCTCTTGCTTTTAGGATTGGAAAAATTTGGTCCCAGTGCTCTGCGTACCAACACAACAAAGCCGATCTATTTCGCTTTGCCAGGCGATCAACTTTGATATTAAGCTGTTCTGAAATTATTTTCGAAAAAGAAAGAAGAATTGCTGACGTAACATGTGTGCTAAAATATCTATCTATGTATAAGGATACTACTTCTATTTTCGAACCATTTTGAGTTATTCTTTCTTCGATTTTTTCTTTATCATTTTCGCTTTGCGTTTTAGATTTCTTTTTATTCTGCTTCGTCTTGGCTGTTGATCCATCTTGTTCCTGTCCCATCGCTGATAAAATTCCCTTGAAAAAAATGATTTTATTTTTTTCACTTTCAACTTTTAGTATTCAAATCAAAAAGATTTCTAAAAAGCTTAATATAATAAATAATGAATTATTTCAACTAAGGCAAAAATTCAGTATAAAAAATATCTCAGTTATCAGAAAATCTCCAAATTCTAAATTCAAATTAATGAAGAGTCAAATGTACATCCAGAACCAGGTATTTTGGAGCTAAAAAGAAGATTAATAATTTCAATCAACCTCCATTTTCAATCAAACAAAAAATTTGAAAACTTCATTCAAACTTTAAAAATTTCAGATAGAATAATATCTTATTTCATGAATATTGAACAATAAAAATCAAAATATGTTAAATCGAGATTTATTTGTTTGAGAATAAATGATTCAAATAATTGAACAGTTTATAATATTCAAAATTTTTCTAAAATAAATAGTTTCAAAGGAACTAAAATATTATTATAGAATCTTCAAAAATTAACTGAAACAAAATGTTGTAAATTTTCTATAAATTGAATTAGAACGATTAAAACATCATAATTCAATTGTAAGTTTGTAAAATATTTAAATTAATTCATGCTAAAGTAATAAGGAAATAATGAAAATTTTCTTACACGCCCTGATTTACAAGTTTATTCAAAAGAACACAAAAAAATTATACGACGATTTAACCAATTATTAATTTGTATAATTAACTTTCGAAATTATTGGCCGTGACTCACTTAGAGAATAAATTAACAGAAAAATCTTTAAATTCAGCTTAAATTTATCTATTGCCCGACAATCTCAGATATGGCATATATACTAATCATGTTCATTCTACCATTTAAAAAAGATTTAATTTTGGAAAAAGAATTATGTTATTTTCAAATCCAAAGTAATATACAACATAATATCTTTACAAATACTTAACAAAATCTAATATATTAAACAACTTTCTCGTTAATGATCTTAAATAATTGTTCTTTCCCATCAGAAATAGTCATCAAAACATCTTCGGTTATTTCATTTTTATCTTCTTTATCTGAATTCTTCACTTTAAGTAATGAATACCATAATGATCCTACAATTGTGATGCACATTCCAATTCTATTCAAAGTAGATATGGAAGAACTAAATAAAAGAAACGATAGAAAGATTGTAATAACTTGCTTCAAACATCCGGCGATAGTCATTGTCAGAGGCGAGGCAAATTTTGTCGCATAAAAATTTGTCAAATTTAGAAAGTAAGCAATGATTCCGCTTAATACTACTCCAAAGATACACAGAGAGGATTTTTTGTATTGCGATGAGGGATCGATCATTGATATATGTTCATTTCTATATAGCGATATAAGGAAAATTTCAATTGCAGAGAAGGGAGAAATTGAAATTAATAGTTTTTGAGGGGAAATTTTGTTCTCTCCTGATAAAACAATTTTTGTGAAAATTTTCTTGAGTGAAGAGAGAAAACAAGTGGTCAAAGTTACAATAAGGCCAGTTATTGTTAGCTTGGTGTCACTAAAACATGTTAAGGCCACACCAAAACAGATTACAACGCAGGATAAAATCGTCTTTATTGAAAATGTCTCATGAAGAATGGTCCATGAAAGGATCATAGTCGTTATTGGAACAATGGATTTAACAACTTGAACAAAGGCTACGGAGCAATAATATAAGGATAAGTTACCAAAAACAATATTTAATGCAAATAATATTGATAATAATATCACATGCTTAAAGGATTTCTGCTCTTTTTCTGGAGTTTCTGGTTCAGTATCTTTACTATTTATCAAATTTTCTAAAAACGAGAGAAAAGCAGTTAATGCTTGATGAACAAAACTCATGGTAACAGGATATTTGAAGCTGTATGTGACCATTAGGATTTTTGTTAGTAATGTTAACACAATGTTAACTAAAAACCATAAGGCGAGCCAAATGACCCCTGCATATTCCATTCAACTTTACAAAATATACGTTTAAATTTTTTAGTAAATTAAAATGAATCATTTTATTCAATATAATATCTAATACTTTTAGGCCAGTTTTAAACGAAACTTGATAACTCGACAAAATTATTTTCTTTGAATCCTCAATTTCAATCTGAGTGTACAGGCTTCGCATAGCTTTTCCACTGTTAAATGGGAGTTGTTGTCCCTTAATTCATCTCAATTCGATTTTAAAAATTGATTTCATTTAACATGGCCAAACAAATATAATGGAAAGTTTTACTAATATATACTTGACAATATATTGTCAATATCATCAAAACAAATAATTTTTCCTGAAACTCCTGTATTCAGGATGTAGTTGTTAATTTGATTTTCATCACAATTATTTAGGCAGATACATTTATCTGTGAGGAAAACATGGTTATCTTCAACGCAAAATGAGGATTTCATCAATCTTTCAAATTTATGGTTATCGATTTTGATGTGAAGTTCATATTCACTAGATATTTCACCGCGAAAGTCAATCTTTTCTATCAATACAGAAGATATGATTAAACCTGACAATTTCTTATTCTTTTTCATGCAAGAAATCAAATCTCTTGCTAAGAATGAAGGAATCAATAAATCATTACCTCTGCACAGGAAAATAATATGAGAACCATTGATTCTTATTAAATTTACAGTCGAATAGAACTGTATCATATCATGAACACACTTAAACAAGTATTCTGTTGAAATATTTGATTCTGAACTATCAAATCTGATGAAAGCTAAATAAGAATTTTTGATTTGATATTTGAAAATTCCATGCTCGCAAATCTCTTTTGCGATGTTTAATTGGAAGAATTTCGACATGTTCTGGATAAAATTCTTTTTTAGAACAACATTTTCAGTATCAAATAAAGCAATCTTTTTCGTAAATTTCAAATCATATTCACTTTCTAAGAACTTCTTCTTTTTCTTTTGATTCAATCGGAAAATTCTGATGTTATTTTCATCATCTTTTGTGAACAAATTATCATATTTCTTTCCAATTATATCTAAAGGATTAGTAAATAACAAATCTTCACAGTTCATTGTAATATTTGTAATGATTTTTGACTCTTTGTCGCAAACAATTTCAATGACTTTATCTGAGTATTTCAACTCCGGCTTCTGATCTTTCTCTTTCATTAAATCTTCCAAATAAGAAACAGGGAAGTGGAACAATGAATCATAACCTAATTTCACTGAATATTCAAGGAAATATATCATATACAATGCAATAATTAATAAAATAAGTCCAACAATAATTGTTGAATTCAAAGCTAAAGTATTAACACTAACAAGGTCATCAGAACTTAACAAATCCTCTAGTTCCCTAATATAAAAAGAAGGATTTGATGGTGTCTTGAATTGTGATGTTAATTGACCCAACAATTCCAAAATATGGTTAAAATAAGTTTCAGTTTGATCAATTACGAAAAATATTGTCAATCTAGAGATGAAGAAGATAAATAACATAGCTAACCAAGGAGCATAATATATAATTAAAAATCTATAATATACTTTCAAAGAATTAAGTTCTGTCTCTTCAATTGTCTTTGCAACTAAATCAACTTTGCTATTAAATGTGAAAATATTATTCAAGCTTTTTCTTCTGTTCAAATTCAAGTCAGTTCTTTCAAAATCTAAGCTGTCTGAACATCTTCTACCTTTCATTGTATCAATTTCATTCAAGTAGTTATCTGTGTGTTTTTCAATTTCTTCTTCATAAGAAGGTTTCATCAAAGCGAATGTGGATGAGTCAATTTGTTCATAGTTTCCAATGAATGAAACAAATAATTTTGAATCTGTCAAATTCAAGTGATGACTTTTCTGTTTCACAACTGGTTTGTCGATCTTTTTAATTACTTCTGCTTCATTTTTGAGATTTTCGTTGGGAAAATAGATTTTGAATAAATCCCAGCTCTCCAATGACTTCTTGAGCAAAAGAAGAGCTAAGCGTTCTCTTGATGACAAGAAATCAATTGCTTTTTTCGGAAGCCACATAAAAGTGTATGAAACATTAAGATAGAGATAGAAAATAGACAAAAAAGCGTATAAAGTAGAAAACACACTTAATAATTTGAAGTATTTCTTGAAAGTCGACATTGGGCTATCTTTCAATAAAATCTTAATTTCGGTAAAAGCTGCTTCATAAAATTTTTTGATTTCTTTTGCTTTTGCTTTTTGATCTAAATTAGCAAAGAAAGTACAATTATAATCCGATAGCATATCACTTGTATATCCAAGAACATTAACAACATAATAGTAATCTTCGTTAGTCTGTATATTATAACCATTAATGAAATCATAAACAAAATTGACATTTTTCTGACAATCCTTAAAAGTCAAATTTAAATTATTGATCATTTTGTAACTCGAGAAGAGATAAATGCTCTTGATCATATGGTGAATAGAATCCTTTACGTGGTCAAAGTGTACAAGGAATCTACATTTACTTTGGTAACTTTCGTAGCAAAAACATAAAAACCAAACTAACATCAATAAAATCGAAATAATCAATGAATAAGTTTTGATGTCAGTATATTTTTGCACGAACATAGCCATAGGACTGTTATCACTCTTTTCATCTCTATAGATTACATTTTCATTAATATGGAATCTTAGTTTTGAATACGACCAATTAAAGAAAGAATGTGAACTTGAAGATGATGAAGAACTTGTTGATCCTTTCTCTTCATTGTATCTTTTTACAGAAATCGGATAATTATAAAAAGAATATCTCAATAAAGGATCATCAATCATCTCTGGATTTTCATTGGCAAGCTGTGAAAGGCGATGATAAGTGACACTTTTTGATGGATCTCCCAAAGCTATCATTGCAATTTCTGCAAAACTTTGTAAAATAAAAGGATTGTATTGATAATATAATATCAAATACTTAGATAGACTAACTAGTTCTACATGAACAAATGATGCTTTTGCAGCATAAACAAATGACTTGTACTTTTCATTCAGTTTTCAACAATTCCAGAAAAGTGACAAACAGACTAAATAACTTCTATGGAGATCATCGAGTTGTTTGATATAAGCAGGTGGAGTTTCTGTGTAGCATTGGAATACTCTTTGTAATAAATAGAATTGGAAGTCGTAATAAGGAATATTCGTTTTGTATTTCGATAAAATTATTGTGATTTTTGTTCTTTGAGATTTGAATATTCCTAGGAATCTGATGACTTCTATCATCTCTTCTGGATCTTGTTTCCTACTATGTGTCATGTAATTTTCGAATCCTTCGATATCGCATTCTGCTTCTGCGGCAAATCTCATTATTGCGGAGTTTGAAATGGGCAGGTACCATGGGGCTTCGTATTTACCGTTCAATATCAAGTAAGAATACTTTTTCAGGAAGATTTGATAAAAATAAAAAAGCAATAAGTATAAAATCAATAAAAATGTAGCAAGATAGTAAATATTAATATATGGTTTCGGATGTGCATTGAAAAATAAGATCAATGGTGATATAAATAACGGTGAATCTTTTAAGAACGCGCCGATGATGTGTATGTGCACTCCTCGAGAGATTCTATTCTCGATCAGTAAGAAAACTAGTAATGGATATATGGGGTAAATGACAATTTCTAAGGAAATTTGGTTGTATTCGCTTAAGAGAAGCTGAAAAGTTACACAAAGAAATCTAACCCAGTATAAATATGTATCTGTGTATGAGGAATAGTAATCGATAATCGTTTTATTGATGAACATCTTTGCTCGAAAGAAAATTGATGAGATGTATTCAATAATAGCCGCTGATAAAATATTGGCGATGTAAAAAAGTATTGCGACAAAACCTATAAAGTTGGGTGTAGTAATAAACATATGTAATGATTGATTAAATCGATAGAATATGTTGATCTGAAAGATTGGCATTAAAAATTCGAAGATTATCATATTAAAGTAGATTGCTAGCCGATATAGATATAAACCCGAATTTGCGCGATTTATGTTTTGATGAAAAATCCAGAATGCAAAAATTTGCATAAGTAATAAGATAATTGAAGATATTAAGATGTTTTTCCCATAATAAACTCCAGCATTCATCAAGCCGATATTATTTAATAGTCGTAATGCAGTCGTTTTTCTCGAGCAAAGTTCTTTTACTTTGCAAAAATCTATTACGAAAAAAATATATTGGCAAAAACGCATAATTTCCCGAATCAATATGAGCCAAGATGGTAAGGCAGATCTATATTTCATTTCGAATCCAAGCTTATACCACCTTTTAATAAACTTGTCTATCATAGCTTAAAATCTATTCTCAAAAAAAATATCCATTCAAATTTATAAAATTTTAGCAATAAGCCAAATATATTGCATACAGAATGAATAATTAAATTGGTCGAATTTTTTAAATGGAGAATTCAAAAATTTGAGGGATCGTAAAATCAAATTTTGTTCTCAAATGTTCAATATATCGAAACATATTCCTGTATTATCATTGCTAATTCTTTTTTTGGAAAAATTTTGGGCTCACAAATTGAGAAGAATAAATTTAATCACCTATTGTAACATTAGACATGTTAATGGTTCATATTACATTATTTTAAGATTTACAAAAATACTTTATCAAAAATCCTTCTCTCAATTCATTTTTTTCGAGTCTCAAAAAAATTCTTAATCATCATTAATATTGGGACGCATAGAGAAAAAAAATCAGAGAAACTTTTAATTGTTAAAATAATGGTCAAAACATCATACATGAAAAATTTTCTGACATTCTCTTATCAATTTTGTATAGTTTACATTTCGTAAATTTTCTATTGAAGAAAAAGATTTTACATGATTAGCAAACTCAAGCTTTTAAAACGATTGGCATTTCGTCCAATTCATAATATGACATTATATAAAATCAGATATATCGGCATAGCATTTATTGTGCTAAGGAAAAGAAAGATTACCCTTACATACAATTATTTTGAATTCAAATGCTGTTCGGCATTTAAATCAAAAAATTGTTTGTTGAGATCATAATCTAAAATAATTTGATGGTATAGCGATTTCGCATATCAAATATATTTAATTAGTGCTTTATCTAAAAATTAGAGTATATTAAATTTGAAAATTAAAATTTAAAATTAAAGATAAAATTAAACGTCAAGGTCATATGAGAAATCTTCTTTTTTATCTTCTTCTAGATTTTCTCCAGAATCTTCAGCATTTGATGAAGATTTCTTCCTAATAATAAATATTACGACGACGACAACAGCTGTTGCAACAGCTAAAACTCCAAAAATGGATCCTATAATAATTCCTGTTGTCTTTGATGAACCACCCTTACTTTGGCTTTCCGGTTCTGGCGTTTGTGAAACGAGTTTATTTTCTCCATCTTTTGGATCTGTTTTATCACCTTTTGGACCAGGATCTTCACCCTTTGTATCAGGATCTTCACCCTTTGTATCAGGATCTTCACCTTTTGGATCAGTATCTTCATCTGTTGGTTTATGGTTTTCATATTTTGTATCTGCATTTATTGATTTGAATTCACTCTTTTGTGATATAACAATTGATTTTTCTGCTGTAAATTCATTTTTAACAGATATATTAAAATCAACAATTCCATTATTCTCTGGTGGTTGAATGCGCAACAGTGATGGTTCCTCATAATCTTGTGACATACTAATAAGACCAGAACGCCTGAATATTGGTATTTTTTTCTACTTGAAAACCTGTTTCTTGATAATTAATAACAGTACAATAGGCACTGAAAAGCATGAGGACACAATGGACTTTGTTTTCATTCTCATTACCAAATTGTACCAATATCTCGGAAGTTCCAAGTGAAATTGTCATCAAGTCGCATGTAATATCTGGTAATCTATAAACATATATTGTAACATAATACGATTTATATTTTCCTGTATACGTCATTTCGATAGTACCATTTTGCGTGAATTCAACATTCATTATCTTGTTTTTGATTAAATCATTCCTTGTTCCATTCGATGTTGAAATTATTGAGATGTCTTTTAGTGATTCTAGGTGGAATGAAACCGATAAATTTTCTTTGATTTCATATAACCTTGGCTCATTTGTAATTCTAAGATTGTACTTTCCTTCTTGTAATACAAATGACTTGTTATCGACAAAATTATTATAGATATCTGATTCAATCTTCACAATTGTATTATCTACTTTACGTTCATATTCATCTTTAAGTTCTTCATTTGATCTTTTAGTATTAATGATACTGAATCCATAATCAGACGCATAATATTGCCGAGATATTAACTCCAATATTAAACACGTACAATCATGGTATGTTGATCCTTCAATTGTGCAGCCATCATTTTTATATGCAACTCGATATTCATTTTTAGTACTGTCAATGATATCAGAACCAATTGCATTAACAAATATTAATAAAGTTAATGAATGATCTTTGGTCATTTCAAAATAGTAAATTGATAATTTTTCATTAAATTCATTAAATGCAAATGCAACTTGTGTATAAAAAACCTTTGGAATATAAACCATATGCAAAAATTCATGTGAATAATTTGAATCTGGATTTCTCGATATATTGAACTTTGTACATGATTGATATCTACTTATTTCCAACTGTTTGCCATTATTTAAAAAGTGTTTTGCATTTGAAAATATGACAAATCCTTAAGAGATAATAAATTCATATGATCCTTTTTCTGGAATTCTGATATACTTTTCTTGCATTCTATAGTCGTGAATTTGTTGAGTAAACATTGTGGATTTTCTTGGATTGTTTGAAAAATCAAGTTCCAAATCAGTATTTGATATTGAATAAAAGAGAGGATAATAATGTTTCCTTGTATAAAATGAATCAGTTCTTTTAATATATACTTGATTGCATTTGATTCTGTTATCATATCCAAATTCTTGAGAAAATGGAAATTCTCGATCACAAAATTTAACATCATTTTCGGACTCATACACGCCAACAACACAATGCCTTTTTCCTAATTCAATTAAGTTTGTGGAATAAATTCTTCCACCATACAAGTTAACTATATCAATATAATCACATTTATCATCAACATTGATAAACTTCACGAATAACGTTGCAGAACTATTCAATATAGATGAATCTTTTGATATGATAACTTTATTTGACTCAATGTACGAATATGATAAATCGGAATTGTTCAGCAATTTAAATCCTTTTGGATTTAAAAATACCACTACAGGTATTTTTCATGTTTCTCCTATTAAATGGATAAGTGTATTTGCTTCATTGTTGAGTCTTATTTCTTGTTTTTCCATATTAGCATTGGCATTAATATTAATTTTTGTGACGTCTAAATAGATTTTGTTGTTATTAATATTTGATATTGAGTAATGTGAAGAATAGCGGCTTCGATCAAAAGATTGTCTTAATTGAATTATAAAGAAGTTTTTTTCAGTTAATGTGAAGTTAAAAATCTCCGTGGAAACACCATTATTTTCATATGAGTAAGTTTCAAAAGAATCTTTAATACCATAGTCGAATATATGCGGTTGAGTGTTTGGTGCAGTATTAATGTAGGTAATTGAATATGTCTTATTGATTTCTGCTACTTGCTCATCAAAGAAATACGATTTGTCAAAGTTAAAAATGAATAAGGTATAGTCAATGTAGCTTTTGTCTATTATTGCAAAGGTAAATGATCTTGAATTACTGTTTCCCTTAACGTAGAATGATGACATACGATTTTCTGATTTCTCTGGGATTGTCAATCCTTTATCGTCAACAAATGAATTAGATGATAACAGTATTAAATCATATTTTTCACAACCAAGCGGAGGATGGATGAGGACTAATTCGTTATCCGGTATTTCAATTTTGTTGTAACCAAGAGAAGAATAATAGACTAAATAAATACCATTTGGTTTTTCTTCTTCAAAAATATCGCTAGTGATGTTTGTTATCAAAAGTGACATTCTGTCATTTGTGTTACTCTTTCCCAAAATTTTGATATAATCATATCTTTTTAGATGGACTTCAATTCTTTTATAGTCATACTCTGTGATAGATTTTTTATCAGAAATTGGTCCTGAAATATCATATAGTGTTTCATCTTCTTTGGGAATAAAAATAGAAATTGTTGCAGGATAATTAATTATCTTTGAATTAATCATAATGTTCTTTTCTGAAGGGTATGTAAATATTAAATAATTTTCAAGATTTGTTATGTTTTGAATCATAAATGAGAGAGTTACTTTTTTATTTGGAGCTTGTATAAATACAGCATCAGTTGTCATTTCAAAATATTGTGGCAATTCTTCTCCTTTTTCATTATAAAATTTCTCATTTGTAAGAAATACAAACATTGATTTGTTGTTAAGTCCAAATGAATCTTGCATAACTAAAACCTGCTGATTTGCTTCAAGGTCAAAATTATAATTTTTGGATGGTTTAACATGATATAATAAATCTGTGGTATAAATTATATCAGATGATTCATTAATATCAGATATTACTAAACTTCTCGGAAGATCATCTCTTTCTTTGATTATAGTCAAGTTTTCCTCATTTGATTTTTCTATCAATATCCATGGATTTATTTCGTGAATAAGATAATCAAATGTGTATTCTTTAGTTCTCTCACTGTCGTATAAATCTCTAGTCCTAACTCGAAATCTACTCATTTTTGATGTAAGAGTACCACAATGAATGGTCATTTGATTATACAAATCTACAGACTTATTTGTTTTAATATAAATGTATTTTGAGGGCAAATTATAAAGAAACACATTCAATCTGGAATCGGCATAATATCGAATAAATGAAAATTCAATTAGTCTTGGTCTTGAATCCGGTTTAATTGTTATATTATCTGAAAGATTTTTGATCATATGTGAAATCTTGTCACCATTCTCATAAAATAAATCATTCTTTGAGAAATGGACAAACATTATGTTACTGTATGGAAATGCTATTACAACTTTTTGGTTAGGAGCAATATATAATGTATTGAGACCTTTTGATGCCATGTAGACATTGTTTTCATCTGCAGTTTTAACAAAATAGTTGTTTTCATCTCGATTGTAGTATCCGAAGAATCCATCACTGAAATCATCTGTAAAATCATTTTTGTTATATAATTTAATTGTGAGTGAAAAAGTAAAACTGGGCATTATTCTAATCCATTTGATATTTTCTAATACCGGAGTTGATTTAACTTCAGCATAATCGCTCATTTTATCGGTTATATAATCAAGAGACATTATTTCGCTGTAATTTTCAATTGTTATTGTTACTTCATGATCAAAAATTAAATTATAATAAAAATATCCTCTCTGTTAATAAAATGAACAATCAATTAAATTATAATAAAATTCGTTATATGGAACAATTGCATATCTATGTGGTTGTCCATCAATTGATTCAACGTAAAATTGCTTTGAATGTTGATAATACTTATAATAAGACAGTTCTGGTCTGGAGTCATTAATGAATCTAAAATATTGTCTATTCAAGAAGGTAATATAATATGGTTGGTACTTATTAACATCTATATGTATCTTTGAATCTGTTCCTGCAACAGTATTATGAGCTATATCAACAGGAGTTGAACCAGCAGCGTATGCACCAATAAGAGATGGCTTAATATTTTCCGCGTTATATAATTTTATAAAAACCCCTGGTGTATTACTCTCAACTGAGGAAATCTGAGGATATGAATCCGTTGATTTATACGTAAAATCTGGATTAGATATTTGGACAATATTTCCATTACTACTAATTTGGTTATATGATGTTTTGGTGTCTGAGTATACTAAAAAGCACGCGGTACTACTTGTATCAACTGAAAACATATAACCTTGACCATCAACAACAAGTGATAGACTTCTGCAATCATTAACTTCCCAAAAACCACAATATTGGGTGATTGGAGAATCCGAGAGACTTTTAATTGTTATCCCTCTAAACAAGAAAAGATTATTAACACTAGGATTTATTAATGGAGCTCCATTTGTCAAATATAAGTATTCAATTTTTAATTGTGAAAGATCTGGTATGTAAATCGCATACTTACGTTCTTCTCTTGGATAAATGTACATTCCATTGGTATCAAATGTTAGCTGTTTTCTTTCTTGACCCCATACAATTTTGTTATTATAACGATGTAATGTATCTGTATCAAATATTTGAGGACATGTCAAAATTGGGCCATCACTAACTGAAAATTCCAGAGGTGAAACATAATTTTTGAAATAAACGCCATAAAAGACTAATGCTTCTGTATATGAATAGGAATTAATATAAACATATCTGGAATTTGTGATTTGGAATTCTGAATAAACTTTTCCACTTTTTCTTATCATTTGTTCACCATTTTCTTCATAATAGAAAGAGCTAACATCTCGGCTATCAATGTAAGAACCAAAGTATTCAAAATTGCAAAATCGTGGGGATATAACAATTAAATCATATTCACGAAATTGAACTTGATAGTTTATTATATATTTCTTGTCTTCAGGACCTAATATATAAAGACCACAATTTTGAATCCGATGGTCAGAGCGGAAATTAAATATATGTAAAGTTTCAGTTCGACTATATCCTTTGATTTCTATAGTATCTCTGTTCAAAAATAGTCCATCTTCATCCCAACCAATATCTCCACCAAATATGAACGATCTTTTATTTAAAACAAGGATATTATTTACTCTGTCTGTGACTTTTTTAAAATTTATAGTTGTGTATTCATTTAATGGTATTTCTAATGTAAAATATCCGCTATCGAGGTCTACAGTTTTGGCATTTGACAATAAGACTAAAGCTATTAGAAGCATTTTCTTTAATATATAAATTGAATGATTTACACTTCGAAAATTAGGATTCTCGAAATTAATACAAACACTTTTTAAAAAAGCGTTTGTATTCAAATTTCGAGAATTTATTTTTTATAGAGAGTCGTCATTATAACTTTTAGTATATATAACAATATTATCGAATAAAAATCATATGACTTATTTGAACCGGAATTTTGCATTCAATTTTGAATTGTTATTCAAATTTTACCATATAATTGTGATTCCATTGCGTTTTAAAATATTTTTTCAATGAAAATTGTAGAAATTTTTTTTGAATGAAATAGAATCCAAAATGACATTCATTATCTATATAATACATATATTACTATACTCTAACTCGGGACGGTTAAACTGAAATTTTGAAGACTCAAATTACAGGGATTTGACTATTTTGAATACTTAAGTCTTAACCCTATTCAATTCACGATTTTGGAAATTCTTTTAAAATCGTGATCTGTATTGAATAGGGAATGAAGACTGGCAATTTTAACAGACTGCTTCAGAGGATTGAGATTCTCTCAATCCTCTGAAAAGTCTGCAAAAATTACCAAAATTTCAGTGATCATTGATTATTTTAAGACTATACATTCATGCAAAGTTTATAATAACAAAATAATAACGATATAATAATGAAGGAGAGATAGAAAAAAAATGTCAGCAAATACTCAAAACATGTATAATCTATACTTTATTTGTAAAATTCAAACAAAAAATTTAATAAATTATTAAAAAAATTATATTCCACATTTGTAGTTATTCTTCAAGATATATTCTCCAAAAGTTGAACCGAAGAAATAACCCATAACTAAGCAGCCAATCAAAGAAACAACATTTGATATTATAATCAACTGTTTTGTTGATGTTGCGTCACAAATTTGGTCAATTTTTGCTTCCATTTCTGTAATTTTTTCTTTCAGAACTAAAGAAGAAACTTCGACTACATCACTATCACCTAACTCGGGGTCTTCCATTTCCATATCTTCTTCTTGTGCTTTTATAATTGCTTCATCGTAATTCTGCATTCTCATTTCTTGTATCTTTAAACTCCTGAATTCCTGGAGCTGCCAAATTGTCATGAAATGGACTTGTGGAACATGTAAAGTTCTGTCTTCAATGATTCCTTCGACTTTGTTTCCGTCTTCATCGTAACAAGCCCAAGGATCATATTCTTCGCCAGAAATTGCTTTCGGCTTGCAAATCAACACAACTAAAATAGAGAAAAGAGGTAAAATAGAAATAATAATACTCAAAGGAATGGAAAACCAGTTAGGAACAATCTTTCCAAACAATGCACAAATAGGAACTAATGTCAATAAACTTTGTGCACCGTAAATCATTGTATCCAATACATTGTTGAATCTCCTCATGTATGGTTGCGCAAACCAATTTCCAAGAAGGAGAATTATATATCCGCCAAGTGATGCCCAAATTACTTTCTTGTTCACACGTTCAGAAATCATTGTAATTATGACGAAAATGAACTTAGAACACATTACTAAAATGCCCCAATTACAAGTCTTCGGCGTATACATGTAGAACAAGTTTTTACCACTTGTTGTTAAGTGGTTCGTAAGATAGAACCATTTGGAAAGTGGACTTTCTCCAAAAGCAGGAATTCGCCACATAATGCTCTTGTTGTGGTGAATTAAATAGATCCAACAAAGAGGAATACCAATAATGATGCACAAACAGCCGTAAACAACAGAAGGACCTGCTTTACCTAATATATCACGATTTACAGTGATTTGCGGCGATAAGATATTATAATGTCTCTTTGAACCATCACAGAGGCTGCTGCAAATGCCTGTAATGGGATCACTGCATGGTGAACATGTGAAATTGATGAATCCTGTTGTAAGAGAAGTCAAATATGAAGTGACATTTGTTCTGATTGGGTAATATTGGCCAACAGGACATGAAAAATCATCGAATGAGAAGAGATCAAGGAAACGATTGCATACAGGAATGTAAAGGAAGTCTAAACATAAAATATAAATATATAATGAATATTTTTTGACAAAAAGCCGTACTTTAATGAACGGTGCTCTGCAACATGGTATAACGATCATAATAAAAACGAATAAATTGATCAAAAAGACAATTAACCCAATTCCAGCGGCAACAACTTTGAAAAAGATGTTAAGCTTCCCTTTAGCATAAACACCACATCCTGCGAGGAAAGCTGCTAACGAAGCAGCGAGAATTATCAATAAGAAAATCATATTTAACCAATTAGGAGCAATTGGTTCAAGCATGATAGATGTATCGTATTGTTCGCATAGATCGTATAAAGTTTCTTCTGTTAAACTAGACTCAGTACCTGGTAAAATGTCTTTCATGTAATATTTTCTAATTTCTTCGACAATATCTGCAATTTCTGGTTTAGAATGACGATGCTTTTTGATTAGTCTGTAAATTCTGATTGCAAACCAAAGTACGGAGATAATTATAAGAAAATAAGTTTCCCATTTTACTCTAGATGTATTAAAGCATAAATAGCCTACTTGAAATCCGAATGCAATTGCAAATACCATATCCAATAAGTGAATAAGATTTGGAAGAAGTTCATCTTGTGCTGTCCAAATAAGGAAAAGATCGAGAATAATAGGAATCATAACTGTAACAAAAACGAAATTAACTGATACATCGAAATCTTTCAGTCTTGGAATAACTTCCCATAGTTGATCGAAGAAAGAAATTATTGCATCTTCAAATTTTTGAAGTTTTTCTGGGATTTTTAACCATCCAGGACTAAGAGTAATACCGATACCTTGAAAATGTCTGACAATTGATGAAATTGTTGATGGATTAAAGAAGCGTCCCATATTTTAAATTTTATAACGTACACTCAAAATTTCATCCAAAAATTGCATTTCAATAGTTTATATATTTCATTCAGAAAAGTTCTTAATTCAAATATCGGGTTATATTGGATTAAAGTTCTAAAACATATCAGAATGTATTTAATCATTAATAAACCACAAATTGTCTTTCCGTTATTTTTTCCGTATTTATTCAATTTTGACATATAATTATGAGCAACGGCGGAAAATATAATAGAAATTAAAGAAAATGATTTTAACTGATTGTATTATGTGAAACATAACTATATATCTCAAGTATATTAATATTTTGTCTTGAAAATGAATTTTCTGCATGATATTTTTAAAATTTAATGATATTTGAAATATTTGCATGAAAATTCTGCCTATGATAAAATTGATTCATTTCATATCAGGTTGTCATCGAACGATTAAATTATTTAAATACGAAAAATGAATCTTGATTGAAACCATAAGGAAGTGATTGCTAACATTATATGTATTATTACTTGCATTTTCCCATTGAGATTTTAAGATATGGGATTTCTAAAAGATTTCAAGATTCATATCAATTATAGAGATTAGTGATATTGACACTATAACCGCAAGTACTATTGTAGCTTTATGTGATAATTTTTGATTCAAATAAATGCACAAATCGTAGAATGGACAAAAATGTTAAGCCAGTGGCTTCTCATTATAAATTTTGGATGTAATTTTTGCATGTATATATTTATGGTTATCAAATATCTAGATAAAAAGGAGGATAATTAAAGCTTTGATGATTTGATTTTCCAGATTTAATAAAAAATAAGAAAATACAATGAAATGGTTCATGAAATGATTCGGTACTTGGATTTGAGAGTGAAATGATGACGGTAGATGAACAATAAGATTTATTTTTTTACGAATAAACACGATTTTGAAAATGGGTCATTCAATTTTGTAATGAATATATTTGAATTAGATTTAATAATTAGATAGAAGAAATAGTAATTACGCTGATTTTTAAGCGAACATTTATACTAAGAAAAAATAAAATGCCCTAGTTTAATGAGCTGATTCAAAATATTTAGAGTTGTGCGGCCAAATAATCATTTGAAAAATAAAATTGCTATCGAAATTGAATAGAACATTTGAAATAATTCTGAATATTAAAAACCATTTCAATTTTTATTAAATTTTAAATATTTAAAGTTAGTATGGTATCAGGTTAACATTGTTTCGATGTTTAAGAGTTGGGCAATAAATTCAAATGGTTTTGAAAAAGTCACTTCATTTTTAACCAAAATGGGTATCTTCTACAGTACTCCATCATACAGCTTCCCTAATGGTAAACTTATGAACCTTGACTATGTCAATGAAAGTGTTGATACAAAAGAGTTCTATAAACTCAGAATTTATCAAATTATGGTCTCATCTTTTCAAGCAAGTACTTGGTTCTGGGGTGGATATGGAACAGGCTATGGTCCAAGCCATCATCGTGGTGATCTAGATGGAATTACGAACGCTTTGGATTATATCAAATCGCTAAATGTCAATGCGATATGGATAACACCAATTTTTGATAGCAACTATGCTTACAAAGGAAAGCAACTCCAGTCAACTGGCTACTTCTGCAACGATTACTTCCATGTTGACAAGCACTTTGGTGGAGATGCTGCATTCAAGAGATTAGTTGATGCCTGCCATGAAAAAGGTATTTATGTCATTCTTGATGTTGCCTTTGGCCACAATGGTAAAGTCAAAAATCCATCACCATCCGGATTGAAGCCAACAGACGAATTGGCCAAGTTCCCAGAATCATTGGATTACTGCCTTGAAGTTATCCAGTACTGGACAGAGAACTACAACGTTGATGGCTGGCGCTTAGATCAATGCTACCAATTGAACCAAGATGGCCATAACTACATGCATGAAATCAAGCAGTTCTTCGAGCGTCTCTGCACAAAGCGCAAAGCAGAAGGCCACGAATGGGGAACATTAGGCTACATCGTTGGTGAACATTGGGGTAAAGCCGACGATATCAGAGAGATTACCTATAAAGGTGATGGTCTTCGCTCTGCTTTCGATTTCCCAGCGCGTTTCGATTTGTTATCTGCAATTGCTCAAACAGAAGATGGCACAAAGGGTGGAATGGAACAGCTTATTACCATGTTCAAGCCATTGAACGAAAGGGGATATCTTGAAGATTCCATTCCGAACATGTTCGTTGGCAATCATGATTTATGGAGACTTGGAAACTTGATCAGAGAAGGCCGTAACCAAGATCAGTTCACAGATGCATATTGGAATATCCACAAACTTGCATTTTGCCTCCTTTGCGCTTACACTGGTCCAATTACACTTTATTACGGTGAAGAAATCGGTGATATCACAAACGAATGGTACCACCAGGAGCACCATTTCTGTGGTGATCATGTTGCATCTGATAACTGCTCAAGAACAAATGGCCAAATCAAGAATTTCAATTACAGGCAAAAAGATCTCCATGACTTTGTCCAGATGTTGATGCAATTGAGAAGAGATAATCCAGCTTTGTATAGAGGCACTGACTCTATTACAATCCAAGGAAATATCATGATCAACTACAAGTACGATGAAGAAACACAAAACAAGATCATTGTAATGTGCAATATCGGTGATGATTGGGAAACAGCTTCATACAAATGCGATCATTACAAGTTGAAGAATCTTTTCGATCCACAGTACAAATTCGTTCAGGAAGAAGATGAAACATTCAAGATCCCAGTTGAAAACATGACAGCTGTCTATTTCCAAATTGTTGAGTAATTTAATTTCATATATCTTATTCTTTTTGATTTTTCTTGCCATGTACACTAAAAAATTATTATGATATTGTAAGATATTTCAAATCTTCATTCCTTCGGATAAACAAAAAGAATATCATTTCGTATCTAAATCTTTCTTATCAGATAAAGCATTTTACATATGAATATACTATATTCATTCCAATAAATAATTATATCATAGTGTTACGAATAAATAACATGATTTTAATTTGAATTCGAAATTAGGTGTGAAAAATCTATATTTTCGACATATAGTTCAAGAACTTCTTATATCTAGCATATATATGATAATCTTTCTGAAACAACACTTCATTTTTTCTGACTTTGTAAATCATTTCTCAACATTAGATTTAATATGTCAGAAGATAATCATAAAAACATTATTATTACGATAAAATTTCCTGAATATGATATCAGCGATCTCAAATTTACCCTCCAAAAGAAAGAAACTTGCTTTAATCTAAAAAATCTAATTAGCAAGAAAACGCACTTTCCTCTAGAAGACATTGTTTTGGAGTATAATCGTCAAGAGATAGACGATGCTGCCCTTATTACAAAAGATTTTCAAGAACATTCAATTAAATGTTATATACACGAAAATTCCGAAGCTAAAGAAAACAAACTTAATCAAAGTAACCTAGACATACCGAAATCTAAGATAGATTTCATAACTCGACTAGGATATAATAGCAATTTCGTTTATAAAGCTTTGCAAGAGACAAATGGAGATATAGATAAAACTCTTTTATTACTTACATCAACTGCAATAAACCAATCTCGAATATCTCAAAGTCATTCTGAATCTTCAGATGAACCCGTTTTATTAACAAAATCATCTGAAAGTAGTAGTGACTCTGAAAGTAGCAACTATACTGCCTCTAATGAGCCTCAACCTGTTCAAAAGAAAAAGATTATTCCTGTCAAAGCTTCGGATTACTCGAGTGATTCAGAATCATCTGACGAAAGTACTAATCGTACATATGGATCTACACGGAAATACAAGAGGCAAAAAAGCACTCCTCAACTTTCTACAAAAGAATTAGCAACTGAAGTTGTTATTATAGATACATCAAAGCGAAATTACCTTGACTTATTCGAACAATGTAAAACTCTTAATGAAAAACAAATTTATTTGAAATTATTAGTTTTAGTCAGAAAATGTCCACATGTAAGTCACGAAACATACTACAAAATGCTAGAAAACACTGATGAGAAATCAAACTTCATTGCAATTGATAAAAAAAAGCAAAGGCTTAGCATTGCAGCGAAAAAGATTAAACCTGGACTTTCTCCTGACGTTTTTGAATCACAGTTCCCTCGAGTAAGGTTTGATCCAAGCGAAGCTATATTTATGCCACATTCAAGTCAAGAAAGATACGATCCAAGGAGGAAACCTAAACAAAAACCGTCTAAACCGGTAGCAACTATCAAAACTCCTCCTAAAAATGTGGAATCAACTGAAGAAAATCAGTCCGAAACTTCAAATGATGAACATGTAACTCTTGATATTATTGACCCTTCAAATAACGAAGATAACACTAGGAAAGATAATAAAACCTCTTCAAAAGAAAATCTAGTTGCTTCTCTTCAGAATTTTCCATTTAAATTCAATGAAATTGAAAGTGAAAAATCAGATCAAGAAGATAATGATGCAAGTGATCCAGTCATTATAGATAAGATAACTCAAGTTGCGGAATATAGTACGGATGATCCAAAATCAAATGAAGAATCTCATTTGCCAAACACTCAAAATTGGTCAATAGAATCCAATGTTATTGCTGACCAAAGTCCAGAACCAGTCGAAATAGACAAAAATCAATCATTAATTGCAAGAGTCAGAGAAATTGTTATTTCAGAAGATATTGCAAAGGAATTGTTGGACAAATCAAACAACAATCCTGAACTGGCTGCAGTTGAGTTCTTTAAGAAGTTACTTCATTGAATTATATTTATATGTTTTTTATATTCTCCTTTTTTTTATGAAATTTGTAAATTATAATTAGTATTTACGAAGTATTTTTACATTCTTCTTTCCTCAAACAAAATTTGCAATCATCAAGATATAAAAATTGATTGGCAATTGTTTTATTCAAGACATTATGATTTGTTGATGGCTAAAGCCTATTTTATTATTTCTGTATATTATTACAGTCATAATAAAGAGCTCATCAAAGGATATAACGTTATATTAGTTAATAACATCTTAATTAAGCTTCACACATATTAAATCATGACAATGTCTATGATATTTTTGATAATACCCTTGAAAAAATGAATGCTAATAATTAAATATTAGAATTATTCACAAAAAGTAGTAGAAATCTAATTGATAAATAGTAAATCTTTTATGATTAAAACAAATATCAAACATATATAAAACAGACAATAATAAAAATATAAATCTAATAAAAAAAAATTATTTCACAACGAAACTAGCTAAAGGATTAACAACTGGTGGAGGGTTAGCTATATAATATGTCATCTGCTTACCCTTACCCTTCAAGAACGTCTCCCCGCGCTTTGTTATCTCAAAGTTCATGTTTGTCAAAATACTTTCTGTTGCTTGAGAAATGTGAACTTTGTTTACATCACTTGTACTCTGTAATCTTGCAGCCACGTTTATAGGATCACCTATTATATCGAACACGGGTTTATCTGTACCTAAAACACCTGCAATAATAGGACCACCAGTATTGATTCCGATTCTTATTTGCAAATTTGCAGAAAGTCTCAAATTTATTTCATCCAAAGCAGAAATTACTTCTAAAGCGAAAAGAACTGTTTGTTTTGCATGGGATTCTGGACTTGCTTCTGGATGGAATAATCCTGTGGCTGCCATGTAAATGTCTCCTATCAATTTGATCTTCTGGACCATTTCATATTTCGATGCAATTTTATCAATAACTGCAAAGTAATAAGATAAGTTAGACATGATATCTGTTGGTGTCAAGTTACTTGAATACTCCGAGAATTTGTTGATATCAATGAAAATAATCGTTGCTGATGGAACAACAAATGAAATATTCTTTTCTCCTTTGTTTCGCTGGACAACTACATCTCTTGGCAAGATTTGATACAATAACTGTTCTGATTTTGCTTTTGCCTCTTCTGCTCTTAGTTTTTGGTCGACCAAATCTGTTTGATCTCTTAAAATTACGGCAAATGAGTTCAAATCATAATCTTTCTTCATACCAATGATTGTCACATGCACTGGTATTTCTTTCGATGCATCTGTAACTGAATTAAAGTCATCTTCGTAGAAATAAGAAGATTGGCCATTTCTCATCTGTTCAAGCTTCAACGAAACCTTCTGTCCATTGTCTTGTGAGAAGAAACATGATATATTCTGGCCTAAAACTTGCTCTAAAGTGAATCCAAGTAAAGAATTCACTGAATTATTGCAAACTTCAATGACACCATATACATTTGTAAGGAATATAGTATCATTAGCGCATTTTATGATATTTTCTTCAAGTGTCAGATTTCCATTTGTAACTTTGCTGTCACTTTTTAGGAACAATGTGTCAAATTTTTTGTTATTCAACAAAAGATATGGAGAGAACCTCTTAATGACGGATATGGCTGCTCTATAAGTATTCACTCTGTTGTTATAATACAGGAAAACAACAAAAACGAACAAAACTATGATTACAATCGCTGATCCGAGCAAAGCTGCTAAATCTCTCTTAACTGTTGTAGCTTCTCGAGATCCAAGAGCTACAATACGATCTGTTACTTGTTTCAGTCTATCAAACATTCTATAATTTGCAAGATAAATCAGATTTGCAACTAAATCTACAGGAATCGTTGTTCCTGCTGCTGAAACATACTGCATTAGTGATGTAGCAAATTCTGTATAGATTGTTATCATCTGATGAATACTTGCATTCGCATAATAAGTATAAACTGTGAGATTATCTTCTAAATCATTATCTATTATATTAAGATCATCTAAAACTGAGTCGAAACCTTTGCATGGCTCTGATTTATCATCTCCATCGATTAAATTCTTCTCTGCTGTCTGTAATCCGTTTAAAACTAAACTTGACAGTGTAATTAAAGTTGAAAAGTCTGAAAATGTATAGAATTGACGGTTTGGATGTACGGCAACTAATATAAACAATGGATTTAAGCTTTCTGCACTTAAAGATAATCTCAATGAAGCGTATTTGTTCCAAACATTGAGATTATTGATGATTTTGTTCGATCTTACGACAATATAGCAAACAATGTAGCTAAGTAGTAAAAATAATAATGTTAAGAAGCATAATAAAATCATTATACGAATACTTGTCTTTGAATAGCCATGAATATCAGTAATTCTCGCATCTTCGCTGCTGTTTGTATCACATTGGACCAAAATAAAGTCCTTTGCACTACTTCTTGATTGAGAATCGAAATTATAAATTAAATCAATGATTCTGTTGATTGATTTTATGGTCTGCCAGTGAACAATGAGTACAGGAATGAATACAACAACAAATGTTACACATGGAATGATAATTGAAAGTAAATTGAAGGTGTTTTCAAGTTTGTCACCTTTTTTATTTTGATAATCCGAAATATTTTCAAACAAATAACCAGCGCCGTAATATTAAGGTACGAAATTAGTTGTTATTTCGCAAGTACCGGCATCAGAGAATGCATCTATTATAGATTGTCTTCCACCTATTAATCTTTGGTTAGCTAACATCTGGCTTGCAATTGAAGCCAAACTTGCAGGATAATAATTGTATCCACCTGCAAAACAAACATACATAGGAAGAGTTTCATTAGTTAATGAGCTTGCGTAGTCATAGACATCATCACCTTTTATACTTCTTTCTGCTAATAATTCCATGAGATCATGTAAATTTTGGCTTGACAAAGTTGTGTAATTTATAATTTCTCCGAGCATCGAATCGAAAGGAATAATGAATGGTCTGTCATCATCACTTAAGAATTCTTTGAGTTTAGCTGTATACTGCTGTATCTGGCCAATTTCCCTGGTGAATTCCATGATGATGTCTATATTCGCCAATGCAGAATAAAACCTTGTCAAAGATAAACTTTTCAGTTGTTGCATTGAATCAACTTGATTTTCAATTTGTATAACAGATAAAGTGTTTCCTAATATGAAAACTAACAAAATATACAAAGTCATAATAAACGAAACAAAATAAATTGATTTGATAGACAAAGGTATTTTGTTTAGAAGTGTTCTATGTAATGCCAATCTCACTTTTGACAACAAAATTGTTTGTTTTCCGAAAAACTCTTCTGTTTCTGCATCTAATTCTTCTTTGCTGTAATCAGAGTTTGAGTAATCACTTGCTTTTTCATTAAATGATGCATTTGACTGTTGAAGGAATGAGTTATTCTTATCTAAACTGAGTCTTTCTTCTTTGATTTTTGTACAAATTCTGCCATTGAAATCAACAACTTTTTTCTTCAAATAATTCGGAAATGCTGCAACCATTGATCTAAATGAATAATCAACAGAGAATGAATTTCCTAATTCTATAACACTCTGTCTATGTTTCATATAAACAGCTTCTGTGAAATCACATTCTGCTTCAACTAAATATCTGATGTATTCTTCCAACAATTTCGAATTATTTGGCATGTTTTGGATGTTTTCTTTCCATATTGCTTTGGCTCTTATTGCTTTTTCTGAGAGAGTTTCGAAATAATTGGCTGTGAGTTTGTTGTTGTCTAATGCTGCTTTAGTCATCATCTCAACTTGGCGACTCATTGTTTTTAATTCAATTAATTTGATTTTACTTTGTTGATTTATTGAGAAGTTTCTAATTGCATTGAGTGATTCAAGTTGGTATATTAGAAATCTTGTTGTAAAACTGAGTCTTCTCCTTTTCAAAAGTAATTTTTGAATGTGTTTTTGTAATCTCGTCTCTTTTGGAAAGAAAGACAGCAATTGAAGACACATAGATAGAACTAACTCGTCCTCGTCATACCTTTCTATCAAGTAGTTAACTAAAGACAAACTTGTGAAACAAACACAATTATATTGAAATGCAATTTTCAAATGAACTAAAGCACTACTTCTACTGAAATTGAGACCGATTATGTCATAATACTCAAATGCTTGTTCATCGTATTTGAATTCTTGATTCATTTCGTTTTTGATATAATTTATTTTAAATATGAAGAAAACCAGAGCCACGCCTGAGAAGAATATATAGGTGATGAGTGTTAGTAGCAATGGAACTGAATATTTCATATTTGGAAAGAAATAACATAAGATAGAAATGAAATTTGCAGTAACACATCCTACGAACCATCCAACAGCTAAACTTTGTGTGACCATGTCAAAGAATGGTAAATTCATCAACATGTAATATGTTTGGTAGCCAAAAATCAAGATACAGATCACATAAATGAAAATTTCTGACCAAGCTTCGAAAAGATTCAATAAAAAGTATAATAATATTGTTACAAGCATTGCATATAATGTAATAACCATAACCGTAGGATCAAAATTAAACAACATCGTTACATTTATTTTAAGAGATTTTGAAGCTAATTTTTGTGTTAATGCAAATGAGTATGATTCGTATGTAAGTGTAAGGGCGTAAAATATGAATGAAACAATATAATACGCGCTATAGTTTCCTCTGGCGATTTTAAGAAACGTTTCTCCTGTTCCAACAATCGATGGAACAAATGAAGCGAACAATATTGTATGGTTGTAGATGGATATTTCTTGATTGAAGAATGTTATGAATTTCCTTTTGTATTTGTAATATTCGATGGCAAATAATTTGCAGAAAAAGGTGAATGCCGTTAACCCGAATAATATCGATGAAATTATAATGTAGTATAATGGTTTGGATGGTTGAGGAATGAAAAATAAAATTGTCCGAATCCATGGAACAATGGAGTGCTCTTGATGACGATCCCAGTATTCACTCCATGGCCATAGGGCAACAAAAAGTACCTGCAAAAAGAAAAATCCCATAAAGGGAAAGAAAACAATTGGAGGAACTTGTTTTTGCTGAAACAATGAAGCAAACAAAGGGAACTGTTCTTCGACATAGCCATTAGACTTTGCCATTTGGATTTCATTATTTACTGAGTCCTGGCTACTTTCCCTATTATTCGCATTCATCACTTTGAAAAATTTCTAGCAAAAAAAGTTTTCAAAAGGACCAAAAAAAGAGCAGATGGTCTTTGATTAGTGTGGTTAATAAAACGAGAGAAGTGTTTAATAAAAAGAAACAATTTGAAAACCCAGCAGACAGATTCGAAAAAAATATCAGCCATTTGTTTTAGAGTCATCTAATGACCATATCCCCAAAATTAGAAGCAAATCGGAATTGGGAATCTTAGTTTTACAACCTTTATTTGAAAAGTAAAAATAAATTGAAATGAATTGAATATTTTGTTTTAATAAAGAGGTAAATAAAGAATAAGTTAAATAAAATATAGTAAAGTTAATGAATTATTTTAATTTAAGTAATAAGTCATTAGAGGAGGCTGCTAACGATATTTCAATATAGCATAACATAATATTGTGTAATAAAGCCCATAACTTTGAGTTTTTTTGACATTGATCAAAAAATTGAAGGAGAAAAATTCTGAGAATAAACAAATATTGAGAGTAAATATCAAAAATCAATAGTTTCAATATTACGATTTTATCTGAATTATAGTTCCTCAAAAAGATGCGAGTGAGTTTAAAGACATACATTTTATTGATCTTTATCAAACAAGAAGTAATTTCGTTCGAGAAAATGAGTAAAACAAAATATAATTTTTTTCCTTCCTCTAGTCTAATGATAGTTGAGTAAATTTGCAATGTCGAACATCGCTTCGCTCTCGCTTTTAGCTGCCATGTGCGCCTTCTGGTAAGCGCTCGTGTTGCTAAGGAGGATTGGTTGTATGACTTCCCAGTTCTCTGTGAACCAACAGAAAAGAGCTTGTCTGTTCCTTCGAGAAAGTCTGTCGACTTGTATCCCTGTCATCTTCTCGAGCGTGTTAGCTCTGCTTAATAACGTGATTGCAGTCACGTTGCTGCCGAAAAGACCTTTCAAGTAATCTTGAACAACTTCGAACTCCTTGCCGAGCATCGAGCATCGGAGACGCATTTGCTCGTAGTCGCGCACGCTCTGGCTTGTCGTCCGCTTGTGTTTGTTCTGCTGTTTGTCATGCACTGAGTAACTCATAGACAAAATATATTTTTGTGAGCGAAAATTTGTCTGCTTTACATCTTCTCAATTTTTTCTTTATTTGATATTTCAATATTATTTTCAATGCACCTATGCATTTTATTCTTTCCCGACATCAAAAAGAAGCATGCGGAGCAATTCTCCTTTTCTAAAAAACTTTTTGATTCTCAATCCAGAAATATGCGTATTTGATTTTTATTTTCGATTTCTTCTAATTACAACATCATTATGACGTATTTATTTCTTTTTAACATTTGAATCCACCTTCAAAAATTGATAACATTACTTTAAGGGTGCGCCCGGGAGGATCATGTAAACTTCAGAATTTAGAACCTTAATTTTTAAGCAATTACTTGGTACCTAAATAGGTAGTAAAACTCTAAAAATATCAAAAAGTACAACTTGGCTCCATAATAATCCTGTCATGGTGGCAGTTTGTATTCCCTAGTATTTTCCTCTTGAATCTCTTTTTCTGTCGAAATTAAATTCAAATCTCAGAAGTAGAAGTGAATAATCGACTTATTGCTGCTATTATACGAATAAACAAATCCATTATATTATTTTTATTTACATAATATCTGTTTGAAGTTCATAATTCTATAAATTTTTCTTCAAAAACATTACAATCTTGATAGTTTTGATACTGTTTAATAGGTTTTTGGCACCTTATTTAGTAATTACAACATATCGAGTCGATCTGAACTTAATTTTCGGAAATTTAAAATATTTATCATAAGTAAAATCTGATTTGAAATTTATGTTTAATTACTATATTTTGCATAATCCTAAGTAGCTTTTGTAAAAATTCATCAAAAAAATTTTAACGTGCTTTAATTTTTTATTTTTTTTTTAAATAATACATATTATTATATAACTAGAATATTTACAAATTTTACTGCTTTCAAAAATTTGATCCTCCTCCTCTCAAATAAACGTACATCCGGGTGGCCTGTTTTTTGCAAAAAATAAAATTTCATTTTTTTATGCTTAAAAAGTCAGAATTTTTATTTGCTTCTGGGATATATGATGGCTATATCAGACGCCCATTCTTTTTGATACTCAACATTAAACATAAAACTTAGCCGTTAAGGCTCTTCTGAAAATATTTTTTTTTCGAAAAATTTTCGAAAAAAATCAAAAAATTTAAAAATCCCCGAATCTAGGGTTGTACAAACTGGCACGCCTGCTGGCACACCTTTTTTGGCCAGCTGGCACGATTTTTTTAAAAAACACATTAAAAAAGTCACTTTTTGCCCCATCTAATGAGATTTTTTTTACAATTTTTTTCCCCTTATTTTTCAATTTAGATATGATTTTAAGCTCTCCAAATTGAAGTTTACCTGATGTTTCTTAGTTTTTATGATAATAAAATGTTGCAAAGTTGAGTTTGGATTCAATAAATTTAAGAAAATTTTATTTTACAATGAAATTATAAGAAAGGATGTTTTTATCCTATGTCAAAGAGAATACATTTGTAGATCCCGACTTTTGACATGGTTGAAAATTCCAAAAAAAAATTCAAAATTTAAAAAAAAATTAAAAAATATAAATTTCATGTTAAAAAATGATTTTTGAAATTTTTTGGAAAAATAGAATGTCATATTTTTATGTTTTATTGCTATTTTTTACGAAATCAATAAAATATTTGTTAATTTGGCTGAGATTATAAATAAAATCTTTCTAAATCTTACAATTGATTGCTAAAATCTGTTTTATGTATTAATTGGCATTGAGATTCGTTATAAAAGAATGCGAATTAATTTGTATGAGTAAACGTATTTTGTAAAATTTCAAATTCTCTTCTCTCATTACTTACCTTAGATCTCTCGGCTTTTAGCTCTCAGATTTCGCTCATAGAACTCAGGTTTTAGTTATGTACTCATAGATGTATCATTACTGCCCGCAGATCTCTCATTACTACCTTACTAACCAGATCTTAACTCTCATTACTACCTTACTAACCAGATCTTAACTCTCATTACTACCTTACTAACCAGATCTTAACTCTCATTACTACCTTACTAACCAGATCTTAACTCTCATTACTACCTTACTAACCAGATCTTAACTCTCATTACTACCTTACTAACCAGATCTTAACTCTCATTACTACCTTACTAACCAGATCTTAACTCTCATTACTACCTTACTAACCAGATCTTAACTCTCATTACTACCTTACTAACCAGATCTTAACTCTCATTACTACCTTACTAACCAGATCTTAACTCTCATTACTACCTTACTAACCAGATCTTAACTCTCATTACTACCTTACTAACCAGATCTTAACTCTCATTACTACCTTACTAACCAGATCTTAACTCTCATTACTACCTTACTAACCAGATCTTAACTCTCATTACTACCTTACTAACCAGATCTTAACTCTCATTACTACCTTACTAACCAGATCTTAACTCTCATTACTACCTTACTAACCAGATCTTAACTCTCATTACTACCTTACTAACCAGATCTTAACTCTCATTACTACCTTACTAACCAGATCTTAACTCTCATTACTACCTTACTAACCAGATCTTAACTCTCATTACTACCTTACTAACCAGATCTTAACTCTCATTACTACCTTACTAACCAGATCTTAACTCTCATTACTACCTTACTAACCAGATCTTAACTCTCATTACTACCTTACTAACCAGATCTTAACTCTCATTACTACCTTACTAACCAGATCTTAACTCTCATTACTACCTTACTAACCAGATCTTAACTCTCATTACTACCTTACTAACCAGATCTTAACTCTCATTACTACCTTACTAACCAGATCTTAACTCTCATTACTACCTTACTAACCAGATCTTAACTCTCATTACTACCTTACTAACCAGATCTTAACTCTCATTACTACCTTACTAACCAGATCTTAACTCTCATTACTACCTTACTCATCAGATATCTAATTATTTACATATGATTTCTCACATCTCACTCAAGTCTCATTACTTACCCTATCTTTTTAACCTTTTCTGATAATTACTGAAATAACTAAATCCTTTTTTTAGTTTAATTCTGATATTAAATTTTTAAAATCTCTTTAATTTTTTGAACTACGCCTTTAATTTGTAATTGCCGATTTCACAGATTTGAACCATTTAATAAAATAACATTATTCAACTTAATCATATCAAACATGGTAGTTTGATTTTCAGATCTACATTTTAAAAACCTCTTTATTATCTTGAGTTATACTTTTATTATATAATACCTGAGTTCATAACTGAAAACTCTTAATTAGAGTACAATATTCAACTTAATCATAACAAGATTTGTTGAATTTCAAATTTGATTTATATCTTCCATCACTTAAAACTCTCACAGCTTACAATATAAGCTAAAAAGTATATTTTCATAGTAATAAAATTAATTATTAAATTTTTTACTTTTTCCTTTCCAAAACTAGAAAAAAAGGAAGGGAAAAGGGAAAAAGAAGAAAGAAAAGAGAAAAAGAAAAAAAAGAAGAGAAAAGAAGAAAAAATAATAATGAGCATATTATATAATTGTGGTCATAGGCCGAGTGGCGTGGAAAGGATGTCGCCCTTCGGGCTCCACCCTTTCCACGCCACGAGGCCCGATTTTTGGCCACTTTTTTGATTTTGGCCGCGTGCCAGCTCCTGGCAGACGGCCCGCAAAATTGTGCCAGTTTGTACAACCCTACCCGAATCTGCAGGGATTTTAAAAAATTCTTTTTAGTAAAACTTAAGGATATTGTATCAGATATATTGGTATGGGCAAATTCAATTTTAATACAATATTCATCGTGATATTGCGCTAACGAAGCATTCAAAATTGAGAGGGTAATCCTCCTACTCTCAAATAAACGTACATGCTGGTGCACCCTTAACTTTTAAAATTATTTCTATATTTTTTGAATAGAACTAAATGTGATTCTAAGGTCATACATATATATTATTTGTTTTTATTCGTCAATTAATTTTTTACTTTTTCAATAATTAATCAAATTCTCATATTCAAATTTTTTAATATTTCTGTTGTTTTCAATAATTCAATTATCAATCTCCCAATCCAGCACTCCATTTATATATATTTCTTGAATCTCCGATCAAAATTTCCTTATTTTGAGATCGTTTATTCAATTTCTAAATATTTTGATGTTCCCGATTTATTTTTCCTTTATTTGTCATGTTGTTTTTCTACTATATACATCATTTCAGCAATACATATATCAGAGCTTAATTTGATGAATCATTTTTGAACCAAAGATTACTATGACACAATTCAAACTAATTGTGCTTCTTATCGTTATTTATATTTTCTCTTAAAATAATGGGCAATTATTCAAAAACAAACTTAGCTTTCAGTTAAATTAAAAAATAAAATATAATATTTCTTCAAATGTCTTAATTAGATAAAATCAAGCTAATTAAATGGATAGAAAGTTTTATACAAACAATAAAAACAATATAATAACAAATCAATCTATAAAGCCGCAAATAATATTGCACCCCAAACAGTAAATGCACCCATTGTAAAATACAATATTTTGTCTGCAAATTTTGGATGTGTTTCGTGCAGTTTTTTCCACATCCAAAATCCGACGAATGGGCAAATAGCGACCCCTCCATAATAGAATAGATCTTCTGGTCTATTATGCTCGTCTTCTAATATTTCGGGTTCATTTTGTATATTTTCTTGAATAATATCATAAAGATCAATTGGAAATCCTTGGGGTAAGGGATGATCAAAGCGAAATCGCTTTCCTGCCTTCGTCTTATAAATGTACTGTCTTTTGATCAAATCTGATGGCGGAGGAATATTGAAAATTGACGTTTTCGAAATAAAATCTGGTGTAGGAATTGTATAATTACATTCATAATCATCATTCATTACATCATTGCCATAAGGATTGATATCACAATTACTATCATCGTAATAACAGTAATCTGTTCCTACAAGTGGCATGAAAATGTGAATTATGATTTTTCAATCATTAGCGGAGCTTTCAAAAATTGAGTGAGTGAAAAATTTTACAGAATAAATGATTAATGATTATAAATATAATAATGATTGAAAATAGTGGAATGAAATTTTTTTATTGTCATTTTTCTTTGACAATCAATCTAATTTTAAATAACTTAAATCGCTATTACTTGACAATGGCACTGATCAAAACTTGTTCGTTAAATTGAATAGAAATATATAATTCGTGATTTCTTGTATTCTGCGAATAGTATGAGTTATACTATAGATTTGTTTTACTGGATAAATCATTTGAAAATTAATATTGATTGAATAAATTGAATAATTGTATGTGTATCTCACGCTTCAATTTTGAATGGGAGATAGGCAGTTGGTGTAAGTGCTATATATCAGATGATGATAACAAATTATCATTTTTTTGTTCAGCCAAATTTAGTTTACTTGGTCAATCGTTAACAGTTAAAGATTAAAATAAAATTGATTTTTGTTTCCCTATTTAATCACAAAATAATTCTCTTCATTAAATGAGAAAATTCAAACTTTTTTATCAAATTGAAAAAAATCTAATTTAGATATATTTAAGTTTTGCGTTTTAATTAGAATTTAATTAATATATGAAATTTTTATTTATCAGCCATGGATTGAAGGATTTATATATTAATTTTAATAAAATTAATATATGAAATTTATAATCAATCTCCATTAATTAGATTCAATTTATGTCTAGAAAATCCTATCTTGCCTTTTATTTTTTTCTCGCTGTGAAACGTATTCGGTCATTTTTTTAAAAATTAATTTTTTGTTAGAGATAAGAGCTAAAACTCGGTAAACAACTTCTTTATGTCTAGAAAATTCTATCTTGCCTTTTATTTTTTTCTCGCTGTGAAACGTATTCGGTCATTTTTTTAAAAATTAATTTTTTGTTAGAGATAAGAGCTAAAACTTTGCAGACAACTCCCCCATGTCTAGCAAATTTAACATTCGTCTCCCATTTTTATATATTTGGTTTAGAATGTTCGAAAATGCGTAATATGGTCATTAATATTAATTGAAAAGAACCTTGAATTAATTCAATCTGATCTCACAAAATATTTTAAATTACAAACTTTGTAGTTTGAATAGATAATTAGTATTAAACTCAAATAACTGGTTTATTTTTGAATAAAAATTATTTGAATTTATTCAATTTTGTGAATTTTCCTTCAAAAATCAAGTTTAAATATCTTATTTGCCATATAATTATAAATACAATGAAACATATTCGAAATTGAAAAGAATGACTTTTTCTGTTCTTTCAATCATTCAATTTGAATTTTGCAATATTGTATTTCTCATTAAATAGCTATTAAAAACAACAAGCAATTTAACTTACATTCAAATTTATTTGTGTTGTATTCAATCTTCTCAAAACTTATAATTTTCGGCTATAGCATGATTATATGCTATACAATATAATAAACCTATAATAGTATCATTCTTTCAATTATTTGAAGAGAAAACCGAAAAAATCTATTTTCGGTCTATAACAATAGTTAATAGTTTAATAAAATGATCAAAATGTTGTTCTATCATGATATAACATAAATAAATTAAATTGTAAAAAAAATTGATAAGACTATTTTTTAAGAAAATGGTTCAATGTTATTCAAAAAATAAATAATATGATCGTCTCAAATATTTATATAATATTTTTCATATTTTTCTGCATCAATTAGCAAAGCAGCTCGATACAAAGCATATTTGATCAGTAAAATTAATATCATGTTGTTTTTGTTCTCATTTCAAATTGAATTCAATATTCATCGAGCTCATCGGACATTCATGATGCAATGCATTTTATGATATATTTTTGATACTGTTTAAATTGAATTCTGTATCAATTTAATTATTCTCGAATTATTTAAATTCTAATTAGTAACTAAATTATATTTCCTTGCAAAATTCGCGTTAAATTCGAATAACTTTGTATAATCAACGTATATTCACAATTCTCAAATTTGATTCACAAAATATTTGAATTCAATTCTTAAATGAACGCATCTTAATGTTATCATTATTATACACAAATCTTCCTCAAATAATTCAGATTGATTTAATTGAACCGCCATATCTCAATATTTTTAAATGAATGTATCACCCCAAGTTCAGCCAAAACCAATGATTTTATATAATACAAAGAGAACCACATCTCAAAGCAATAGAGACTTTGAGCTTGTTAAGTCTCGCTCATTATATTTAGGAGAAAAATTAAATATTGTTAGTGGTTATTTGAAGCATTTATATGGGAACAATGTAACTGCAGTCTCATTATTATCACGAGCTGATAAACTCGAAAGAATAATTGGTATTTCGGTAGACAGACTTGCCAGAAGAAATAGGCAAGCTTTATTTTGTTGGTTCACAGAAAATTGGGAGCTAATTCAGCCAATACTAATGCAGCCTGGTCGCATAATAGTGAATTCGGCACCAAAAATAGAGTCAATCGACGTTTCAGATCTTTCTAGATTGTTGAATTATCATTAATATTCAAATTGTTTTTGATTTGTTATCATCCTTATTTGTGCTGTACTTTAAAAATTTAGTTTATTCTATCATACGTCTTATTTTTATTAAGTTTGCTTTTTCATAAAATTTATAATTAAGACATTATCTTCAGAATGATTGGATAAAAAAAAGAAGTCTATGAACACAAATGTTTTTGCTTGATATGAACTTTTATTCAAGTAGATATGATTCAAGAAAATTAAAGTTATCTTTCATTCTTCTTGTATTCTTCATGTCATTTATAAAATTGACTAGAATTATATTTTAAAATAATAGATATCAGCGATATTCAATCCATTAGAAATTCGTCATTTATCAATTTTGATTGTTTCAAATAATTAAATTATATTATTTTTATAAGTACTAAATAATGTACATCATGGTTATTTATATAACAATAAACAAATAAGATTACAAGCAAAAAAGAATGAAAAAATATTAATGTAATTTCATCTTTTGGAGTCTTGGTTGACAAATAAAGCTTATTTGTGATCGTGAACAAGTTCTTCTGCTGTTAACAATGAATGTGTTGTGAACGGGTTTTTTAATAATTGCAATCGACTCCTCGTGGAAAATAGGATATTCGAACATCTCATCAATTGTTGGTCTCATTTCTGGATCTTTTTGAAGGCATTTGTTAACAATTTCGGCATATTCTTTGTTTTCGATCAAATCAATTCTTGGTGGCATCATCATAAGATTATGGCAAACAGTGTTACGATCATTACCAATCCATGGAAGTTTTCCTGTTGCCATTATGAAAAAAGTAACACCAATTGCCCAGATGTCTGCTTTCAAGGAATCATGCGGCAATTTTGATAAAATTTCAGGGGCCATAAATGGAACAGAACCTGCGTATTGGATGTCTAACTCATTTAGGAGATGTTTTGCAGATAATCCAAAATCAGTAACGCGTATTCTATCATACTGGTCAATTAAAAAGTTTGCTGGCTTGATATCCAGGTGAGCAACGTTTGCATGATGGCATGCACGAATAGACTTGAGGATTCCCATTGAATATTTTATAAGAAGCAAGTTTGATATTGAATTACGATATTTCAAAAACTTTTCTAATGAACAAGGGCAGTATTCCATCAATAGATATACGGAACCTTGATAGTAATCATATCCGTAAAGCCTGATTACATTGTTATCGTCAACATCTTGCATGCTCTGAATTTCGTTTTTATTGAATTTTGATTCTAAAACTGATTTTAGAGCAAATTCACGGTCATAAGCAGGATCGTAAATCTTGTAGACAACACCACATGCACCACATCCGAGGACATCTAAGAATCTGAAGCCTTTCATCTCGATATAGCATTGATCTCTGTCGTTCATTCGAAAAATGAAAAAAAATTGAAAGAGCATTGAAATGTAAAAATATGAAATAATGACGATTTAATGAAATAAAATGATTTAGTAATATATTTGGGATAAATGTATATATTTTTGTTTGGAAAAGTTCAGAAGTAATTTGTGAGTATTCAAAAAATGACATTTTACATTTAATATTTTTATTATAAAATATCATTGAAATTAATAGTATATTAAAATAGATACGAATTAATATTTTGAATATTGAAATTGATAATGTTTGAAATAGAATTCAAGTTATTAATTTTCAGAGGGAAACATGAACCATAATATAGATATCAGAATTGTCAATTAAAAAAATGGGTATTGATTTGATTGAATTATGTTTTCTGAACTCACTGAAATCATTAATGATTTTATTTTTATTAATATTTTGCATAAATTTCTATTTCTTGAAATGTTTTAATTCAGTGAATCTATTCAAAAACATCTCAATAACTAAAAATTTGAATTTGATTTTTTTCATTTTTCTATTGTTTGAAAAGCAATATACTATATTTCTTAATAATGAATTGTTGAACAATTTAAACTTTATTTACGATTTCCGCAAATTTTTTTTATTTTCGTTCTAAAATTTCAATATAGGCATCCAATATATAAGTTTAATAATACTTGTAACATTTCACATTAAAATACCAAAAAAATAAAATATTCATTTCAGAGAATCATTATTTTCTCCAATTTTTAGAACACTATTTCTTAACAATTTCAAATATTTAACAATAATAAAAATTACAAATTTTCATTTGACAAATTGAAAAGAGATAAATCAAAGGTTACCATCAGTTCCATAATATGCATTTTGTATTGTTAGTATTGTACTTCAATTTAAAATCTAATTTCGCTTAGGAATCAAATTCCAAAAGCCTCAAAAATCAATCAAAAGTTAATCAAAACTTTCATATAAGATGAGATATGTGTTACAACTGATTTTTTCTATAAACCAAATTAAAATCTTTATTTATAAATTTCGGAATTTATGAAGGAATTAACTCTCTAAAATTATGTATAAATAATATCTCATATCCTATGTATTAAGATATTAGTGTTAAAGTTGAATTTTGTCAATTCGGGAAATTTTTGACGATTCCTCAATTGAAAAACATTTTCTTGATTCAATAAATGATACTCAAAATTGGTACTACTTCCGCTTAACAGAATATTGTTTATTGGAATAGTAACTGAGGTATATTGCAAGTTAGTATCATTATTATTTCAACCAAAAAAATGAGTGTAACTTTAATGGATTGATCTAAAATAATTTACCGGAGAAAAAAAATATCATTCTGAGGGATATTCGTACAAGGCCCAAAGGGGAAAAAAGCCTACTTGAGTAGCCTTTAATCCATGAAAAGCTAATTGAATAAATAAGATGTTAAAAATTTTCATTCTAAAGAAGACGAATTTTATATAAAATGAAATTTCAAGATTGAGTCATATTATGATTTCTATTAGAGAAAAACGCGCCAAATCGCTTCTAAGGTAAAATAAATAAAAGAAAGATTCGACATAAATTAGAAATTTTCTAACCATATATGTCTTAAAATCAACTTATTCTATTACAATTTTACAAAAAGAGTTAACAAAAAAAGGTAATAATTTTTTTTTACAATTGAAGATTTGAATTGTAAAGTATTAGAACTTGATTTTATGAAATGTATGTATTGAGTGTTAGATTTTTTGAATAAAATATATATAATTAATGAGTATAGTCCACTATATATAGCAAAAAAAGATTGTTGGTAAATTATGTTGAATAAAAGAAAGAATCATTTGAAATATATTGAAATAATAAATCGAAATATTAAAATATGGATGAAGTTTATTGGCATAACTTATAAAATGACTTCCAATAGTTTGTCTGATGTGAAAATTAATGAAATTGGTAAGTTAAATCGACCAATAATAATGTGAATAATTGAAGAGAATTTTAGGGAAGATTTAATATGAAAATGAATTTGATAATTGATGGATTGAGAATTTAATATATATAAAAATAAACTAAGATATTATGAATAAATATTTTTTGAAACCGATTTAAAAAATTTGAAAAGAAAAATAAAAACGATATTTAGGATCGATTTGAAAATTTAGTTGAGAATAGTTTTAATAACTAGAATTAAAGTGAATAATTTTTTAACAAAATTAATATTAAAGAAATCAATATACTGCATGTCGTTCAGTTAAAATGTATTGATATGCATTTTGAATATTGATTAGAAAAGTTGAATTCAATAGTGAATTCTTAGCTCAATTCTTTACTGTTCAAAATGGAGATTTTACGATTTTAATAGAACAATTTAACAAATTAATTGAGTATATAGATATGGGGTCGATTTTTGTTAAGTTGATAACAAAGTTTTCTAAGATAATTCAAATATTTGAATAAAACCGTTAAAACTTTCACTTTTGAAAAATATGATTGATTTTATTGCATAAATTTTCGAACTCAAAGGTATGAAAACCAAAATTGTTATATACAGGCATAATAGGGCGGTTATCAAGGCTTCCTAATACTTTGAAAAAGAAAATTGAAATTCAATTATTTTTTTTTAGTTCAAGATACAAAAATTGTTTCCTCCAATCAACTGATCAGTTTCATACACGATAATGATTATCAATATTCTTTTATTCTGCTTTTTTGAAGAAATTTACAAAAAGAAAAAAAAACAGTTAACAAATTTAACTTAAGATACCAAATAACATTTTAACATCATTTATTGTATAATTTTTGAGTATAAGTATATTACGAAATTCAAGTGTAAAATAACATTGTTATATTTACAATATGCAATTGCAATTATCAATAAAAATTAGATTTATTAATATAATACAAGATCATTAATAAAAATCAAAAATTATGAAAAAATAATAATTGCAATTTAAAAATTTGGTTGCCATATATGCAAAATGCATTAAAATGAATAATGCAGAGATCTGTTCACATGGTTAAAATTCAAAAATGGAAATTGAGAAAAAAAATGAATAAATTTGAAATAATAGAATATGATGTAAGATATATGTACACAAAAAGTAAACATTGATTTTAATGATTGTAAAATTGTCTTTTGAAATTTTAAACAATAGCAATTTTAATTATTTCTCGTATATTGGTTAAACAAATTTACTAGCCACGAATAATTGTTTTGAAATTAATATTTGAAACTTTTTAATATTGTGTGGATGATTTACAACTATTCAAAAAATTAAATAATATTCAAATATAAAACTTTATCTTTTTGGATCTAATATTATTACTTTAATATTTCTTTTTCGTATTTTTGTTAACAAAAATTAAAAAATATATTATTTAAATTTAATTTAAACAATGATATAACAATAATTTTTCTTTGAGTACTGAATTGAAATTTTTCAATTAGCAATTCAAAATTTAAATAAGAAAAATTGAAAAATCGATTTTTTTTATTTTTGTTCACTAATATTCAATACAATTTCATAATCTTTCTATTAACAAATTCCCAAATGAATTTTCAATGCTCACAAATTTTAAACTCAATTTTCACAATTATCTATATCGGCTTTATATATTTTTGTTTTTTTATTTTCCTATCTATTTTACAAAGAATATTTTACTTTATCATTTAATTTCAAAGTTCTTTCTTTATAATACAAATATTGAATAAGGTCTTTCAAAAATTATTCATATTTTTGTTCTCTAATTAGCTTTCAATGATTAATCCACAGATTAACATCTATGATACACTCCTTAATGGTATTCAACCGGAACATGCTAACGATATTAGACTTGTAATGTATAAGTTCATAATAAACGAATTCTCATATGACAAAGCAATAGCCGAATTGAGAAGATATTCTTCGTCGACCGATCCAATTGATAAACTTCAAAAGTTAATGTGTGTTTCGGAACACCCTTTACCAAGTAAAAGATATCCATCACAGAATTATATGGAAAAGAAAATGAATTCATGGTCACAAGCTGAAGACCAAAGGTTACTGGCTGCAATACATCGTTTTGGTCCAAAAGATTGGACACAGATTTCTTTATTTGTTGGGAAAAATAGAAATAGAAATCAATGCTCCCAAAGATGGCTGCGTTCACTTAACCCACTTATAAATAAAACATCTTGGAGTCAAGATGAAGATCTTCAACTTCTTGATTCTGTCAGTAAATATGGACTCAGATCATGGACAAAAGTTTCTTTAGAGATGGAAGGACGTACTGATGTTCAATGTAGATATAGATATCAGATCCTTATGCGAAAAAATCAAGGAAATATAGCAAAATATAAACAAAATTTAGAGCAGCATTTGCAAAGTCAGCAGGGTCAATCTAATAAAGATGATAATCCGAAGGAAATACAAATAATAGATGATAATAATATCAATGATGATAGGCAAATCAAAATTGATGATTCACGAATAGATAATTTAATGGATATGATTAAAGAGATGGTTTCAGATCCCTCATCAGTATTTAATTTTGTTGATTAGGGAAACAATTTTTATATAATATAATTATTTGTTTTTTTGTTTATGTGTAAATTGATTTATAGATATCGTTTGTATGTAATTGATATACTCAATAATATTTTAAAGATCGTTCAAATGAAAATTAATTTAGGCTTAAGGATACCCTTACATTGCGTAGTTAGAAAGAGAATATGATATTGTCATGATTGCGAAAGTTTTAGGCTCCAGAAATGAATATACATCAAACTGAAACAATTGATAAATTGAATGAACTTTTGAGAGGTTCTCAAATAAAAAAAATTATCTAATTTTTTACAATATTACTATTATTTTATCCACATATGTATATATAGTAATTTGAGAAAACTTTTAGGAAAAAATAAGTTTAATAAAAATCTGAATTTTACTTGTTGTGGGATTGTTATTAATTGACACTCCAGACGTATTACTAATAGTTATGCGTATGCAATTAAAGTATTTCTGATGGACAAAATGTGAGATTTATATCAGATAATTCATTTCTACTATTAAGTTATTCATTTATGAGTTTGCACTTATTCGCACTAAATAAATAACTATTAAAAATTGTTTTAATTAATTGACACCATATAATAGAGTGAATTTTGTTTGATCAAACAACAATAGATGATAGATATAAAGCCAAGAAACTTGCTATTAATATGCTCTACTTGCTATTTCAATGTAAGTATGATATTTTCTAAATGTTTCGTTCAGATAACTTAGATATATTAGTCAAAATTTGAAATTTTAATAGCACATATATTAAAAATAATTATTATTCATAAAAGATTAATGAAATAGTAAAAAAAATCAATCAAATTATAAAAATACAACATTTAGAAGAATTCTTATTATCCTTCAAAAAGTCAGTATTTCTGCTGTAATTTTCTACAACATTGTAGTTATTGCACTTTGTCTATGGATTTGTATATATGTTATATATAAATTATATATCTAAACTGCCCATAAGTGCAATTTTTATATAAATTGTTTATTTCTTTAACAATTTCATATAAAATATGCTTTTTTAAGCGTATCAAAGCTGTGTTCTTAATGTGCATGGATATATCAAGAAAAATGTCGAAAAAAAATGTGAATTCACAAATTCACTGAATTTTCACCGTTTTTGAATTTTGCTACAGCACTAATATTAAATAATACTAAAATCTTCTGTCTTTGTAAAAGAATAAATTCTGACAAAAAGTGCTCGTTTAAATTTAATGATCATCTGTATGACTAAGTGGTAAAAAGTGTTTATGACCAAAAAAGGGTTACATGCTTAGTCTATTTTTCTGACAGGATACTCTAGATTTACATGATCTCTATTTCATATCTCCGTTTTTAGATTCTTCGACAGATTTTATGATAGAAAACCAAGATTAACAAATTTCCGGCATGTTAATGAAGAAATCTGCAGCTACCCTCAATATTATTTCAATAATCAGTATCGTTTCTCTTACAATTTATTTTTTTTCTCAATAATTTAACAAGAAATAACAATACACACTTGGTTTTACGTATAAAAGCTAAGTTTCGAACTTAATCAACTTTACTTACTTAGCAAATGAATATTTTGTGGTTGCGAGTTCTGAATGCTGAAGTTTTAGATTTCTCTATAAATGATATCATTGCACTTACAATGTTGTTCCAGCCTATCGCATAAATCATAGAAAATCCAAAAAAAAAAAATAATATAAAGAAAATTCATGTCATGAAGTTCAAAAAATACCGTGTAACATTAAAATTTGTTATGCATAATACATTTTAGCTATTATTGATTTTTTTTTAATTTTCGAGAAATTGAATGGTGAGTCCGATAGAGAAATTTTTAAAAATCCTAGTGCCTCATAGAAGTAATTTCCCTCGTCTCCCATACTTCCAAATGTATGCATATGACATAAACTTTTATGCATTACACAAGTGGCCAATAATATCTATAGAGTAAAAAATTAGAAATTTAATTTTTTTATATGATAGTTATATTTCAGATTTGCGAGCGTAACTTTTTTCTCCATGGCATACTTGTTTTAAGAGCAAATGATCAAAATCGTCCTTCAATTATTGAAGGAGCTGATATCTTTTGAAAATTGAATTGAAAGAGTATTCAATTTTCAAATTTCCTCTCAATTTTGGAAACATATCAACTCTATGAATTAACAATTATGTGCCTTCACAGTTTATCAGTCATATAAGGTGCTTATAAAGAAAAAAGTTACGCTCGCAAAATATGTTTTTATATAGATTTCACATAAAATAATTATGTAATTTCTAAAAAGAATATTTTTGTTCTTGAATATTAAAATGTATTGTAGTTTAAAAAGTTTTAAATATGTTGCTAAAATTTCAGGTTTATAGCTCATGTCTAGCATGACTTCTTCGTATGCGCAAAAAATCTGACACGTAAGGGTATCCTTAAGAGCAAAAAAAGATAATGTTTTATTTCAACATAGTTTAAAACTGATTTAAACGATGTATCTTATTTGATAAGTAAATAATTGTGATAAATTTGAGTTTTTGTCGTTGATAAAGATTTATTGTGATGTATAGCAAATATATGACAAGTAAGTATCGCATTTTTAACGTTAATAAACGCATTAAAAAATAGAAGACTACGTCGAGTATGTTCGGAATATTGATAAACCAAATTTATATATTTGCTTATGGATAACAGGAAAAGAAAATTCACGAGCCCATATATTATATTTGAATTTAAGGAAAAGAATCATTGTTTATATATAAAATTTCTTGAATTTTATAAGAACAAGTGGATTGGGTGAAAGATCATAAGGACAATTTCTTTATGACAGAAATTTAAAATTTAAATTGAAGGGAATTTTAAAAGTATATTATATAGGGAATTATTTTCAAATTGCGCTTCGTAAAAAATGATAAAATGACATAGAAAATGTACTTCAATTTTGAAAGACATAATTCGAGTTTCATTTATTTAAAATGCCATATTTCGAATTGTTAATGAAATTAAAAAGTAAAATCAATATAAACGTTGGATATTGAAACAGGAATTTGAAACAATTGAGAATTAAAAAAGCTAAGGAGAAAGGGACAGACTAGCCCATTGTCACTTTTTAATTTAGCAAATGAACGCTTATGGAGTGGAGTTTTTGGGTAAATCTGATTTGCTTATAAATGAAATAAAATCAAAAGAAACCATATTGGCATTATATTATGCAAAAATAAATGATCTTACTTAGTACTTTTAAAGTTAATTTCAGAAAAAATTTGACACAATGGTATCCGGCACATACAAGTGGTGTACAACCAAAATATAAGTTAGTTTAAACATATATTGCTATATCTCATGATCTTACTTAGTACTTTTAAAGTTAATTTCAGAAAAAATTTGACACAATGGTATCCGGCACATACAAGTGGTGTACAACCAAAATATAAGTTAGTTTAAACATATATTGCTATATCTCATGATCTTACTTAGTACTTTTAAAGTTAATTTCATGAAAAATTTGACACAATGGTATCCGGCACATACAAGTGGTGTACAACCAAAATATAAGTTAGTTTAAACATATATTGCTATATCTCATGATCTTACTTAGTACTTTTAAAGTTAATTTCAGAAAAAATTTGACACAATGGTATCCGGCACATACAAGTGGTGTACAACCAAAATATAAGTTGGTTTAAACATATATTGCTATATCTCATGATCTTACTTAGTACTTTTAAAGTTAATTTCAGAAAAAATTTGACACAATGGTATCCGGCACATACAAGTGGTGTACAACCAAATCTTCGACTCGATGAACTTGTAATCGAGTTATATTCCAGTGTTGTTCCTTCATTCCTGATTAAGTTGCAAATTAAAGGTCTGGATTCAGAGAGAAGTGTTAAAGTTATCAAAAAAGTCACAAGAGATTTCGAAGAAATGACACAATTTAAAAAAGTCGAATGCATCAGTATGCTTGAAGCTGTTCAGAAAGGTCTGAAAAATGATACACTTGATCCCAACATTGTTTACTCAACATTAAAAATATTATTGCAAAGAAAACATTTGATTTAATAAACATTTAATTTATTATAATTAATTTTTTATTACAGTATAGTAAAAAATGCTATAAATAAATTATTATATTTTATTAAAATGTGACTTTTAATAGTAAGTGAATAAAATAAATCAGGAATTGGGAAAGAAATAAGGTTAATTAAAAATAACGAAAATTATAAGTTTAAGGTTAATGAAAAAGTGACAATGGGCGAGTTTGTCCCCCACTCAAAGCTAAGATTTAAAATATTCATTTATGTAAGTAATAAATGAAAATTATAATAATATTAAATTATAAAAATTGAGAAGATATTATTTGAAAAAGGACTTTTGATGTCTATTGAAAAATATAACGTTTGTTAAATCATGAAATGATTGATTAAAATAATGGTTAATAGAATGATTAAGCTAATAATTAATAAATATGAAAAATTTTTATTTTATAGCTGTATTTTTGGATTTAGGCAGGAAAATACTGAGAAAGAATAATTACATGATAAATAAAATTGAGATTAAAAAGTGTATATTCAAAATTAATAGTGAATTTAAAATATTCAGATAAACCGGAAAAAATCATCACAAAATTATTATGCTAGAAAAAGATCCTGTTGAATCAGATAGAAATGAGACTATCTAATTTCTATGGTATCATAACACCCTATTTAGCAATTAGTATTCTTCAATTACCACAAATCAAAAATATCGAAAATAATTTAAAAAAAATTATCAAACTTGAAATATCGAATTCTTAAATGAATCACATTGAAAATAAATCAAAAATGATTGAATCGATTATATGTTCTTAATATGTAACAATTTAATGAATTACATTTTCGAAATATTATTGGTGTAAAAAAATCAAAACAATCAATAATTATTATATGTTTTGGAAATTAAATCAAAAAAATAGTGAAGTTGATTTAGATGATGTAAAGTTAATGATTTGTTTCAGAAAATCAAAAGATTTTGAAAAATTTAAATTGAGAAAAAAAATCTAGGTAAATTATATTTTGATTTGGTTAACAGAGATAAAAGTAAAACATTTTTGAGGTGATTGGTTGAAAGTTTGCAAATTACCTCAGACTTTTCAGAGGATTGAGTGGCAACTCAATCCTCTGAAATAGTCTGTGGTAATTTTTAGTCTCTACACTATTTCAATATAAGCTCCATTTTTAAACAGTTTTTAAAAATCGAGCATTGAAAAGTGTGATGAGACTTTTAAATTAATCAATTTTGGCTCTCAATTTCCATTTAATTTTAGATGTATTCTGAAAATGCATGTTCACCTAATAACAATCTCCCACCAGCGTTTTATGATGAAATCCTTTTAGGTCTAAACCCCGATCAAGTTCAACCTATGAAAGATGTGTTTTCATCCTTCATTACAAATAATATAGATTATCAGCAGGCAAAGCTCCAATCATTAAATCTAACTGGAACAAGTGAGCCAGTTGATAAATTACTTTCATTTATAGATGTTCCAGATGAGCCAGCCTCAAGTCCAACTTGTGACTTCTGTCCATCTAATCAGAAAAAATCCAAAGCTTGGACATCCTATGAAGATCGTAGACTTGTCGCTGCAATGCATAAATATGGCCCCAGTGATTGGACCAAAATCTCTGAGTTTGTTGGCAATGGCAGAAATCGTAACCAATGCAGCCAAAGATGGCTTAGATCCCTTAATCCTATAATCAACAAAAGTCAATGGTCTATGGATGAAGATATCAAGCTCATTAATGCTGTCAATCGTTACGGCGACCGCTCTTGGACAAAGGTTGCAGCTGAGATTCCAGGCAGAACAGATGTTCAATGCAGATATAGATATCAGATCATAGGTAAAAAGTATCCTAGAGCATTGGGTATTGAACAGAGCCAGTTTTTCAGTCAGTGTTATCATCTTCCAACATATGAAAATCATGTAGCATATAACACAAGCCCAGCTCCAAAAGTTATTGAAGTGAAGAAAGAAACACCAATAGTTGCAATTCAGAAGGAACCAGCTGTTGATATTGCAGATCTTTGGTCTTCAATTCACTTGTTTGACATGATCAAAGAATTGGAGACTGACCCAACATCCTTCTTTAATAACTAATGTTTGATTGGAATTTTCTTTTGTTTTTTGTTTGATTTTCCCATAATGGATTACTAAAAATCTGACCTTTAAAAAGTAATTTATTTATTCCAATTTAATTGGCCTGAAACCATTAATTTCTAAAATATTTTTCAAGAATAAAAATTATTTTGATTAAAAAGATCTTAAAATATTTGAAATCCCAAATTGTTATTGATTTAAATCATTTATATTTTAAATAAAAATTTCAAATTAAATAATTTAAAAAAATATTTTTCATTATGAGCATTCGGATTAAATTATCGTTGTTTATCAAAGTTTAATTTTAAAAAGATTATAAAAACCTATTAATAGTCAATTTTCAATAAAAATAGAAAAAAAAATCAAAAAAGCAATAAAGCAAAAATCGTTGAAGGAATATGCAACCAAAATAATTATACCAGTTTAATACCCTTTTCGGAGAGAATTAAATATTATTTTAAAAACATTAAAAGGATAAGAAGCAATGAAAAGGGCAAAAGAATCTAGAAAAAGGAGTAAAACGATTGAACATTGATTTGGCCAGTTAAATTGCATTTTTAATTTGGATGTGAATATTCCTGAACAGAAATGTGAAGCAATATGGTTTAATGATTCATTATGTGTATAAATTTAAAATGCACTAGGTCAATTGTCAAAGAATTCTTAGAAAAAAGCTGTACCCAAAGCATATAAACGTTTAACCCAAATAATCAGCTGAAAAATGCCGATAGAAAAATTAAATGGTTTATGTTTTATTGTAACAGAAATTTCTAAAGAAACCTCTTTGATTTCTTTGCAAAACCAATAGATTCAAATAAATTAAATTCATGAATATTTGATATCTTGATTCACTGATTAATATTATGAGAAGGAACAATTAAAATTGAAGGCCAATTTTGTTGTTTTTTTGTGAAAGCATATCGAGACGAAATATTTGCTTATCCGAGTATTTAAAATATAATATCAGAATTTTTCGATTTGTAAATTTTCTTTCAATGGTTGATTTTGTTATTAAATGTTGTTTTAATAAAATTGATAAAGATTTTATTAAATAGAGACTGCGCAATGTATTATTTTTTATTTTGTATTTGACATTACGATTTTTCTTTTATTGGAAAATATTAATCACTGTTATATTCCAAATAGGCTGGCGTAAAAAGTTTTTCAGTTGTATATTCAGAACTTTTTCAAATGCTGAAATCTTCCTTATTATTTTTGTTTAATCTTTATATAAATATTGATATTCAAATATGAATTTGAAAAAAAATTCTGAAGTAATTCAATTAACAGATTGAATACTTCCTCATAGCAATATCATTATTTGAAAGATTCAAACGATTTTCAAAAATATGAAATTCTTCATAGCATCTATTTAATGTAACACTTCAGTGTTTTCTGTTTGAGGTGCCTATTCAATATTTTGAATTCAATTTTCTATTTTATTAATATATTTTTTTCACTTCAAATTTAAATGTCAATCAATAACCGTGGCTTTATTCAAGATAGCCTTCTATCTACTATTCCAGCTGATAAGCTTCGACCTGTTCAAATTGTTCTTTATAAGTACCTTACCCAATCAATAACCCTGGATGAAGCTAAAGTTGCTACCACCTCTATTCTTGATGATGATTCTATAATGAATCAACTAGAAGACTACATTAACGTCCCTGATGAATTACCAGCTCAAACTTCAAGGATAGAAGATATTCATAAAGTTAAGAAAGTTGCGGCTTGGACTCCAAATGAAGATCGAAGACTCCTCGCATCAATACATAAATTTGGGCTTTCAGATTGGCAGAAAATTTCAGATTATGTTGGTACAGGAAGAAATCGAAACCAATGCTCTCAAAGGTGGATCAGATCATTAAATCCACTTATAAACAAAAATGGTTGGACGCCTGACGAAGACTTACAATTGAAGAAAGCTGTTTCGCTTCACGGTGTCAAATGCTGGACAAAAGTTGCAGCAGACATGCAGGGAAGAACTGATGTGCAATGTAGGTACAGATACTATATATTAGTTAGAGAAGGACAGATAAGAAAAGGCTCAAAGAAAGCTAATTCAAAAACAAAACGAATCATTCCAGAACAAAAACCTATCAAGGCGGAAGATTATGAAAAATATTATATTCCTGATATTATTGATAATTCCAAGGATGAATTTAATCTTTTCCATTTAGAGTTTGATAACCAGTCATTATTTGATCTATTTCAATAATGCGAATATGGTTTTATATTAAATTTTTGTCTGTTTTCTAAAAAATTGATTGATTAACACAATTTTAATTTTAATAATGGGATGTTTGAATTTCTTGACTAGTGAAATCAATTAATTTTAGTATTCTGATACAGAAAAAAGATATTATAAAATCCTCATTTTTTATTTAATTATTGATAATATTTAAAAGTTTCTGTTAAATTTCTATTAACAGATCAATACACTACACGAAAAATCTTTATGAATTTAATCTACAAAATATTTAATCTGATTAAGTTAAATGCATGCTTTGCTTTACTCAATTTAAGTTCGTATGCAATTATAATAAGAATAAAAGCATTTGTATTTACTGACGGTCCAAAATGAAATCAATATTTGAATTCCTTAAAAGATGAATCCATGATTAGAGATTCAAATTTTTGTTTGGATATATATAGAATGCCTGATTTGATTTGAAAAATATAATTATTATTTTGATTTTATCATTTTGAGATAAATGAGTTGGTAATTCATGGTCATAGATCTTTATTAGATATTTTGTTCCATATTAAGTTCTGTCAAAATGTAAGCTATTCAATTCTATCGTCGGGGGAAGTATCACAAATCTATCAATTTTTTTGTAAAAGTATACAAAAACATATGGTGTTCAATTAGTTTATAATAATATAAATATTAAGATTATCCAAAATAAGAAAAACTAGGTTTTGAGAACACTTTTGAGATGATAATCAAAATATTTTGATTGAAAAATAATATATTATTTATCAGATATAGAATGGATTTTTTCAAATTTAAAAATTCTGAAAAATAAACAGTTTTGTAAAGTAAAAAAAATGAACGAAAACTCGAGACCTCGTATTCCAAATGAATGGGTAAGATATATGTATGAAAAACTTGAAAGTGGTGAGTAAGGATGTCAATTTGGAAGAAAAGTGAGAAAATTTTGATTGTGAACTCATCTCTAATATTTTGGCTCCTTAATATATTTGAATCATGATCTTTGAGAAGAGTTCTCAAAAGTATTCACAAAAGCTATTTTTCCTTGAAATTTAAAAATCCTGTTTATCATATATTACCGAATTCAATTCCCTACATATTTCAAAATATTCTATGAACATTTCAATTTTTGAAAAAAACATATTTTTTCCAAATATATTTATTATCATATTTCTAATAATATTTCCTAAAGCGTCACTTTTTACTTCCTCGACGATTATTTCCCTCTCAAAAAATTCAATAGCTTACATTTTGACAGAACTTAATATGAAACAATTTTAATGATATGAATATTTAAATGATTATTTTAACTTAAAAATATTTGAATTTTGGTTTTTTAATTAAACTGAACTGATTCGTCCAAAAAATGTATCATTTCCACTTGTTTATTCTTGTTTTTATTCGAAAAATCAAAAATTGCTATTATTGATATATCGCAAATGTTGGCCAATTTTAATCCAATTATGATATTTGTGTTCCAAAGCTGTGAATCAAGTATTCGATTCGACTTTCATGTTTTCATTCCTCTGATGTCAGAAATATTGTCCTCAATCTTTGTGGATTGTAGTTTCCCTATCAAAAATTTGAGAAATTCACAAAAGTTATTTTTATTTTCTATGTTTATTATATTAACCTGCATATGTTTTTATTTGTCCAACCATTTTAAACCGCTTGAAACCGAAAAAAATGAGTATTCAAAGATATAAAATTGTTTAAATAGCAGGAACTGCTAATAATTAGTTCAATGATTATATTCATTAATGATTTACTAAATTTGAATAATTATCAAAATTTTGAAATGGCAACCGTTTTTGTTCAGTTTGTGATGAAAAATTACAGGTATTTTATAAAAATTTTAGATAATACATCATGTCATTTTACGTTTAAGTTCCGATATATGTGAATGCTAGAATAATTTGATTAAAATAAGATTTTAATCAAGTTTTGAAATTTTAAATTTATGTATTAAATTTAACTAGCAATCTATTGAAATTATGGAATAAAACGATATAATGTACCTCTAAATTGAGTTATATCAAAAGAATTTATTTTCAAATCAATATTGACTCAAAAAGATGTTTTTACGGTAGTTGCGATATGAAAACAATCATAATTCAAAATGGAAAATGGTATTTGCTTTGTTTAGAAGGCTAATTATAGAGATCTCATATTGGAGAAATCGAAGAAATCGTAAAATTACACTAAAACTTTATTGAATTCCAATGATAATGCTTTATTATAAAGAGAATTAGTAGGCTCACATCGTTTAATCTGAATTTCAATATTACGTCTTTCAAAAATCTTTTAAAAATAAAGGAATTTGAATGCATAAATTCAGAAAACCTTATCAAAAAATTGAAAACAGATATTTGGTCATATCATGAAATTTGAAAAGATAACAAATACGAATAATTAACCCAAAATATTGCTCACCAGCTAGTGCTCGTTAATTCATTTATATTTGGTTGATGTCACATATCAATTTAGAAAAATATATTTTGAGAATTTTATTTTTTGAGAGGCTGATTTTAAATTGATAAATGGACATGTCAATGCAAAAATTCATTCGGCATAATCGAATAAAATAGGATATTATGATCTGTATATCAGAATATACCCAATAATGCATGAAACGTCGAGCACGTTTTTCATGAAATAAAAAGTTGTTGAACAGAATTTTTTCCACACCCCCTGATTGCTCAGAAAAATTTGTAATCAAATTAATTGTAATACCATACTAATACGGCTGAAACTTATTTGAACCTTATAAAAATACTATTTTATTATCAATTCAATATCAAATTTTTTCTCAATTCATAGCTTTTCTATTCAATAAATCTGAGTTTACACAAATTAATGTTCGATCCTCAGATCACCATCTATAACCATATCATCAAAGGGGTACCACAGAATAAAGTACAGTATATTAAAAAGCTCCTGTTTGACTATATAAAGAATGCAATTTCATTAGATGAAGCAAAAGTTAACTGTTGTTCTAGTATTGGTACTTCAGAGCCAATCGACAAAATGGAGTGCCTTATGAATGTACCAGAAGTAGCCCCACCAACTTCACAGTTTATCCTAGACAGGATCTCCAATAACAAGACAAAAAATATGGACTCAACTTGAAGACCAAAGACTACTTGCTGCAATACATAAATATGGCTTAAATGATTGGACAAGAGTTTCGTTTTTTGTTGGCAATGGAAGGAACAGATGTCAGTGCAGTCAGAGATGGCAAAGATCTCTTAATCCCCTCATCAACAAAAATTCTTGGACAAATAATGAAGACTTGACACTTTTTAATGCAGTAATGAGGTTCGGTTTGCATAGCTGGACAAAGGTTAGCGCCCTTCTTCCTGGCAGAACAGATGTACAGTGTAGATATCGGTACCAAATGATATCGAAAAAGTATCCACAAGAATATAATTTATATCTTTATAATAATTTTTTAAAGCTACAAGCAAATATGAATAGCTCTGATAATAATGAGCATGAAATATATATAGATAATTCTAAAATTGAGACTAATGAAGAGAAAAAGATAGAAATTGAAGAGAATGAAAAGCATATTCCTTCAATTTTCGAGAATTTAAATCTTTTTGAATTAATAGATGAAATAAGCGCCGAAGCTGGTTCATTATTTTAAACACGAGAGAATAAATTAATAAATTGTAAGGTTTGATAAGGAATCATGTATTAATAGATTTATTTGTAACTAAAAATCCAAGAACTATATAGGTTTTTATCGTATGTCAATAAAAATAATTTTTATTGAAAAACAATTTCAAATTATTTCTTTTGTTTGTTGAAACTCAAGTATTTATGTTACATTCAATTTTGGTGACAAATACTATGCATTTTCTTGTAAATGTTTTTGATAATTACATAAAAGAAATAATATTTGTTCGATGGTAAGATAAGGAGTGGAGAAAATAAAGAGTGAGGATCTAGTTAAGCCGGCAGAGACTGATTTTGAAGAAAGTAATTTCTTGAATATCGCAAGAATTTCCTTCAATACAAAATGTTTGAAACCAAAGATGTAACATATAAAGTCTGTTACTATTTTCAACGGTTAATAAAATTTATACAAATGAACAAATTTTATTTGAAATTTTTTGGAGGAGCACATACAACATTTTCTATGAGTTCTCAATTGAACAGTTGTATTTTTCCCCTTTGTTCTGGTTTTTAATTGCATGTATGTCAATGTTAAAGGGAGTTTCGACCACTGCTATAATCATGGATGTATTTTTATCGAATTTGAACTGTTTGATAGACCTTTCAAATCGCTGTGTCTTGTAACATTTATTGAATGGAAGTATGTTTTTATAATATCACTACCTGAATATAGCTTGTTTTTTGGAATTTGGTAAAATAAAATTTTCCAAAAATTGATTTGATTGTATAGGTCTGAAATATCAGAAAAAATCGTTTATTGATGGGTTTATAAAATTCAAAAAAATGCTTGACGGAATCGAAGCTGTATTTTTCGATATGGATGGTACTATTCTAAATTCATTGATGTTGCCACCAATGGTTGATAAAAAGTTCTTTGCTGCACATGGTCTTGAAGTTCCAAAAGATTTAACCGCAAAATTTTATAGCATGAGCTTTACTCAATCAATGGAACTCTTTCAATCTCTTGGATGTAAGGGAACAGTTAAGGAACTTTATGACCAATGGATCTCATTGGCCCATAAATTATATACAGAAGATGCTGAAGTAAAGCCAGGTGCTGTTGATTTGATGAAATTATTGCGTGAAAGGAATATTAAAACAGCTATTTGTACAAGTAATGCTCGTGAACTCGGAGAAGCGATCGTTAAATCAAAGAACTTAAGCGAATATATTGATACAGTTTTTACTTCTTGCGAAGTAGAAAAGGCTAAACCAGCCCCTGATGTTTATTTAAAGGCAGCATCTTATTTCAATGTTGATCCAGCCAAGTGCTTGGTCTTCGAAGATTCAGTTTCTGGCATAAAATCTGGTCTTAGTGCTGGAATGCATGTTTGCGCTATCTATGATACTTTTTCTGCAAAACATGATCAAGAAAAGAGACAATTAGCTCACTACTATATCCAAGATTTTACCCATGTTCTTGATGGAACATACGAGAAATTGAAATGAATATCTATCAAGGAATTATTTACATAAAATTTCATCATTATTGCTAATAAATAAAGTTTCCAAATGTATTAAATATAAAATTTTTCAAGTTGACAATACAATAAATTAAATAAAAACATAAAATATGATATAAAAACTTTACTAAAATGAGATTTTGAACATCCGTCTTTATAATTAGCATGTTCTGTTAATTGGTATGTATAGAAAAAGTATTGAATTTAGGATAGAGATAGATAATTTTTTAATAAATAAGTTTAAGCAGTCCACTCTGTATGGAAGTGGCCGCATTTATCAATTCTTTCGTAAGTGTGAGCGCCGAAGAAGTCTCTAAGGCCTTGGATAAGGTTAGCTGGGAGCTTAGCTCTTGTGTATGAATCGAGGTATGAAAGGCAAGAAGAGTAAAGTGGGACAGGAAGAGCCTTGAGAGAGCTGTAAGCAACGATATTACGAAGTGATTCAAGTCTCTGTTCAACAGCCTCTTTGAAGAATGGAATCAACAAAAGGTTCTTTGTCTCCTTTGTGTAGTACTTGGAAATATCATTCAAGAAGTCAGCTCTGATGATGCAGCCGCCTCTCCAAACCTTAGCGCACTTTGAAATATCAATATCGTAACCGTTCTTCTTTGAGAATTTCTGGATCATGCATAAGCCTTGAGCGTATGAGATGATCTTTGAAGCGTAGAGAGCCTTTTCAAGGTCTTCAACTGTAATTTTGATTTCTGAATTCTCAATGGAATGATGATTGATGACTTTTTCAGCTTCGACTCTCTCATCTTTCAAGGATGAGAGAACTCTAGCGTAAACGGCCTCACCAAAAGCAGGTGTGCAAGCTGGGATATCGTAGGAATCCTGAGATGTCCATTTTCCTGTTCCTTTTTGTTCTGCAGCATCGACGATTAAATCAATCAATGAAACATCACCTTCTTTCTTTCTCAAGACTTTCTCTGTGATTTCGACCAAATAGGACTTGAGAACACCCTTATTCCATTCGCCGAAGATGTCTGCGATCTCATCGTTGGATTTGTTGAGAGAATTCTTGAGTAAGAAATATGTTTCGGCGATAAGCTGCATATCTGAGTATTCGATAGCATTGTGAACCATCTTGACAAAGTGACCACTGCCACCTTTGCCCATGAAGTCAACGCATGGCTGGCCATCAGCAGATTTGGCTGCGATTGGTTCAAGAATTGGCTTGCAACGTTCCCAGTCCTCTGGAGCTCCACCAAACATCATTGATGGACCATTAAGAGCGCCTTCTTGGCCACCAGAAATACCCATGCCAACAAAGTGGATTCCTGAGTCAGCAATTTCTTTCTGACGTCTTTCTGTATCTGGCCAATGGGAGTTGCCACCGTCAATGATGATATCGTTCTTTTCCAATAAAGGCTTGAGTGACTTAATAACATCATCAACGTATTCTGCGTTAACCATAACAAGGAAAACACGAGGAGTCTTAAGGTTCTTGACAACCTCTTCAAGTGTCTTGTAACCTGTAATGTTTTCCTCCTTTAATTCGAGTAACTTCTGTGTTCTTTCCCATGAGATATCATAACCAATAACTTTGGAGCCATGATGAGCGAGGTTCCTTGCGATGGAAGCACCCATAACTCCTGTTCCGACAACGCATATATCATCTGTCATGATAAGATAAAAATGATGTTTGGCATTCAAAAGACTTTACCATTCAAATTTGATTGGTTCATAAAAAAATCTATGTTTGTTGTTCTCAATTTCGAAAATTTTTATTTATTTCGAAACATCTTAAAATGTACTTGATTATTTAGCAAAAGTTGGTCAGAAGTGAAGACCACATGAGTACTCAAATCATTCAATTATGATTGCATTCAATTTCGATAAAACTAACGATCAGTTGTCACTTTTAGGTTCAATGAACGAATAAAAAAATTTTATAATAAATTCGATAAGTTTATGGATAAAAATAATATGTGGCTACTTGACGATTATTGCGGTTTAAATTGAGAGTGCTCTTTGAAAAGTTGAAACAACATAATTTTATCTATTTAAAGAATAAACTTAAACCAATGTTAGTATGTTTCAGCGTAAAAAAACGAAAGATGGTGGTATTTTTGTTCGCAACTGATTAATGCAATATTTATCATATTTATCGAATTATGGAAAGCCAACAGGCTGATCATTATGTACATATTTATCAATATTGCATCATCATTTATGATGACTCTTTGAAGTCAAGTTTATTAGTATTTTTGATACAATATTTAATCAATTTTCTATTACTGAAGGAAAAAATTAAAATATGGACTGCATCAAATAAAATCCTATCATAAAAAGAATCAGGTACTATATTTCAAAATTGAAAATCCGTATAAACATGATTTGAAAGTTATTTGTAATGTTTTTACACTTTACCATTTAAATTCAAAGTTATTTCATGCATAAAATCATGTAAAACTCTTAATACTGACCGAATTTGTTATCGAAATTCTGTCGATAATGTTTATTTTCATACTTTTTTTGTGATAAAATTAAATATTTGAACAATTAGAATATAATTGATTTTCCAAAAAAATCGCGAAATCCAGATTTTGAATTTCATTGCACTAGATTTTCTCATCAATTTTTACTAAAGATAAATTTTTTGGAATTTTACGATATTTAAAAACAAATCTAAATGCACAAACATATCATATATTAGTGAAAAATTTATATTTTTATGTTGAAATACATATTTTCTCATAATTGACCAATATTTTAAAATAAATTCCTCAAATATAAAGTTTGATCCCATAATTGCTTCAGTTTTCCCAATTATATGTCCATTGTATCACTAAATGATCACAAACAATACTCAAATTTTACAATAATTCATATGAAGTTAATCTTACAGGTCACTGCACAGATTCCATTATCAAAGATAATAGTCATGACAACTTAAGAATTAGAATTTATGCCATGTTAAGCATAATTGGCCTGCTTAATGAAACTTTTCAAAGATAAATTGCTACTCTTTTTTATTATTGACTTACTTAAGATAGCTAATGCACAAAATTGTCCACAAAATAACCAACTTATACTACCAGCATGAATTTGCTTTAAAACTATCTCATTTCCAGTTCAATTACCAAAATAAACATTCATCTTCCAATATTTTCAAGAGTTTCTTGCAACAATCATGACTACAACGCATTGGTTAGTCGATCGTACTTACAATATCTCGTTTTTATGCTTTTCTTCTCACGAAAATTTCATTAGAAAGAAATTATGTATGAACCTATTACATATAAAGCGCTAATGTGGGGCACGCCTCAACAAATGACATTTACAGAAATAAAATATTCTGTTTTCATTACTTTAAAATCCAATCGATATTGAACCTACGTTACTCTAATACATTCCAGTAGATATAGGAATGCTTCCGAAATTAAGTTAATTCGACAAAAATTTCGATAAATACAGATAGCTTTAAGACTTCGAAAAACTGAATGCACTTATGCACACTATTACCTCACATCTTTCGTTGATACATTTTATCGTTTTTTAATTTTCAATAATTTTTTTTATAAAATATTTGCTCAAAGAGTGAGAATTATTTCAGACAAAAACACCATAAGTAAAGATAGATAATATTTACAAACAAAGAATCTATAATATTAAATAATATTAAGCAATATGCTTTTCTTGTAGTAGATTTCGGATTTTAGCTTGATGTAGTTGTATCAACGATGCTGAGCTTTTCCTGTGAATGATTAATTCATCGCCGTAGTTTTCTCTTAACGTAGTTGCGACGTTTGTAAGCGCTTCTTCAGATCTCTGTATGTTCACGTGTAGTTCGTTGAGCTTTCTATCGTTAACTCCTGGAGCATATTCGAATCGAATAAAATCTCGAAGTTCTGTATAACATTTCGTATAGTGTTGGTATTCTTGAAGTGCTTTCTCCCATGTTGGAAGAGAATCTGTGAGTTTTGATGCTTCATCTGAAGAATTTGTGTATTTTACTAACATTTCTAATCTTTGCCTCATAGAAAAGCCCAATTGCTTCCATATATTCTGGAATATCTCTTCCGTAGATGTTCCAGCTTGATCGTTTTTGTTGAGCTCGTAATGAGATAATAACTCTTTTGCGCTTTCTGCTGAAGTTATCGCGTTACTTACATACTGTATAAAGTAAGGATCTGGTTTATGTTCCTCGTTGATCAATGGAACATTTAGTTTTTCCTTACTTTTATCGTCGATAGATTTCTTATCGTCAAGGTCAGTATTCCATGTATCGTTCATCATATTCGGCTGGTTATCCGGTTGTTCGGCTTGGGTGTTTCCAACTTTCAGAACATCCGGAATTAAATTTTCATTTGAATCAATTTCAGAGGGAGGAATTTCCAGATTGCCAATTACGTGCGACATTTCCTTTAGTTCATCAACAAAGACGCCATTTCTGAATTTGGCGATCGGATCCGTCATATGCCAGACATTGATAATTTTTGGCGGTTTTGTTTGCGGTTTAAGTATCACCTTTTTAGGTGTATTGATGCGGGAGACCGGTCTTGTGAGAACTCTAAGTGGTGTTTTCGGTAAAATTGGCGGTGGAAGGAAATCATCTCTCGGAGAAACGGGAACTGTTTGCGCTTTTTCTTTTGGTATTGGTTCGAAGAATTCGCTAAATGCGTTAAGTGTTTTCTTCAGTCCTCTATGAAAATCTTTCCTCGACTCGTCATTCAAACATAAATCAGTGTAGCGATACGAAGGAGGAAGAGCGCTTTCAGCGAAAGCAATACTACGCGTAATTTTCTCTTCAATGGCACCATCTTCTTCTGGAAAAGTTGGTACTTTCAAGCGACCAGGTCGAAGAGTTGATTTTTGAGGGGAAATAAATTCATTTACGACATCGCCGGTAAGCAAATCGTTGTCTATTTGATTCTCTTTGATCGACTTATCGATGAGCTCTTTGCGACATTTGTTTAATTCTTTAACAAAGTAATCGATTGCGACAGTTGAAGGTTTTTTTCTGGTATTGGCGACAATAAGACCGTCTTTCTTCATAATTTTTACGAGATTAATGACTTTTTCTTGAAATAATTTAATCATTTCACTCTTTTTCACGATATCTTTATATGGAAGAGAGTTAATTTCTTTCAGAATCTGTGTAACATGCGTCATATGATACCACCCTTCAACTGTTGGGTCATCAACTAGATGAGAAGGAAATTTAAATATATCATTAGCTTGTGACTGATTTTTCTTTTGCACTTCGATATATGCTTGCTTGTAGACAGATCCTGGTGTAGATCCAACAGGAATATCTGCAGGAAATCTTTTATCTCTTAATTTTAGGACGTATTTTCCTGCTTTTTCGATAGATTCTTCTAATGATGAAGGTTTTTGTATATCTGGAACAACAGGAAGATTATTTGAGCACCCATATTTCATTAATAATGTTTCTGTTGTTTCGTCATCAAGGTAATCCATCAATAAAAATCCTTGATGACAAAAACGAAATTTTGAAAAGTGACATCGCCCATGAAATTTTATCAAATATCTTGAATGAAATAGAATAAGAAGTAAGAAAATCTGATTAATGTTTTTAACGTACATCACATATAATTTTACGCTCACAAATCTTTAATGTATTTTTTTTGTAATAACAATTGTATAAAATATTTTTTAAAAAAACTTTAAGAAAATAAGGCTAACTTACAAAAACGAAAAATTCAGTGTAAATCTTTAATATTTGAGCCAATTTATTTTCTTTTTAAAAACAGACATCATTTTAACGAAGAATTGGATCAAATTTAGAACAATATCATTTAAATTTATTTTTTTTTATATCAGGAATCCGACAACTCATCATTTATTGCATAGAGTTATAAATTTATCTAGTCATAGATTTATATGTAATAATTCAATTAGCAATGAGTTAAATTTTCATCAATGAATAAAAATTCTACAACAAAACAATATTTTTGTATTGCTCCACTAGTATCAATCATTCTCATTGGATAGTAGACTTGAAACCTTTGTATTAATTGAGTGGAAACATAAGTAGTAGGATAGGGCGGGGTGTGTGACTTTTTTTGTAAACGTAAGAATTCATACAATATCGAGCGATTTTGTATCATTATTTTAACATATTAATTTTAAAATAATTTATTTTTTTATTCTTACATAAATGACCCAACAAGTAAAACCAGATAAAATAGATTATCGAATTTTAGAGGATGGTGTTCCTGTTTATATTCAAAGATTTAAAGGGAAGCAATATTATAGAATTGTTAATCCTGAATATCTTAAACATCAATTTAAAAAGGAAGACTGTGAATTATTAAACGCTAATGAATATGAAAATGCTAAATCAAAACTGAGATATAAATATATTGGAAGTGATGAAAGGTGTAAAGATAAAGATAAAGTTTATTCAGTTTCATATAATGAATGGAAAACCAATAAGATAAGAAAACATTTAGGAGATTATGGGAAATGTTCTGAATTCTTCAAATCTAGTATATACGAGAGAGTAAAAGAAATTAGAAATAATTATTTTCATGAATAAAAGATTCACTACCATAATGAAATACAATATCGAGCGATTTTGTATCATTTTTTTTAACATTAATTTTAAAAATTTATGAATAATTTATAAAAAGTTTTTATTCCTACAATTCCTATATTACCATTAATAAAAAGAATATATTTTTGCATAGATTCCAAATATGGTGTCAATTTTTTATTTAATATAAAATGTATGGAAAAAGAATAATATCTGATTTTGAACATTATTTGATTGATTTACTAATTGATCCACAAAGCTGTTGTAAAATTAATTTTGAATTTAAAATTAAAGGAACCGTAAATTTTATATTTATTTATCACTTAAAAGAATATGACCGATATCATAATTTGATATATGAAACTAATATAATATTTGAAGATAACAAACTTACAAGCTTCGAACATGAAAATGATATAATATTCGAAGATGAAAAAAAGAAAGAGATTGAAAAGCAATTCAATGAATGCCTTTTAAATACATATGCGCACATTATAAGACATAAAATGAAATTAATTCCTTATTAATCAAAATAATCTTATATAAAATCAAATAAAATTTTTATCTTTTATTTTATAATAAATGAGTATAACAACTAATTCATTGAAATCTTTAAAGTTCACTAATTCAGAATTAGAAAATATTTTAGAAAATTTTGGAGACGGTTCTTATCCAACATATATGCAGAATGTGAAAGAGTTTTCCAGATTGTTGAATGAATTTAAATATAACGGACCAATTACTAAAAAGGCTATAATGAGATATTTATATCCCAAAAAAGTTGAAAAACAGGAGAATATTCCTCTTTATGGTCCAGAGGACCTGGGCTCAGAGAGCCTTGAAACACCTCCTGAATATTTTGAAGAAAAAATTAAACAAGATGAATATTATAACGATGAGATTGAGAAATTGGAACAATTAAGAAATGAAATAGATGAAAAATTAAGAATTAAGAAATGCTGAAATGAAGTAGAGGTTTAATGAATATCCCAGCTTCAGAATCAGAAGTTCAAAAATCACATGAGGAAAGATATAAAAATTACTTTTTGGAATCTACTAAAAATTTATTAGATGGTGATATTGACGAAACACTTTCAGAAGAAGGCACAAAATTTATTCATAAACATAAGTTACAATTTATTGACGATGGAGATTATCCATGTATATTACTTTCACCTCCTCTTGATTCTGAAAAATTCAAAAAAGCACTGAAAAATACATATGCAACAAATACGATTAAGAAAGAAGACCATGATATTTACACAAATTATTATTTAAATAAATGTACAGGTGTTGATAAAGTTTTTGATTTGTTAGATAAAATATCAAAAGAAACAATTGGTACATATAAAATTTTATGCGATTGTGGTTTCATTGTTGAAGATACCGTTGATGTTTCATATGAAAGAACAGCTCCGAAGGAGGACGAAGTGGAAAGATCTATTCCATTCGTTATTAAGAACATAAAAGATATGAAAACTTATAAACATTATATTTATTCATTTATTTCAGAAAAAATGGAAGCAACACATAAATCATCTCGTCATCATTTCATAGCTATTCATACATTCCTTTTCAAAGTTGTGAAATTAAATAAGACAGGAATTAGATTTAATGTATCAGGGTACGCATTCTTGAGTAAATTAAAATGTATTCGTCACGTCGCAGATGATAAAAATTTATGTGTTCTTTTAATTCACTTTTGATCTGGACTTTAAAAAATAAACTTTATTTTATTTATTTTTTAATTTTTATTCTTACATAAATGAACAAAAACGGAACAGCTAAAATGAATGATAATCAAATTAGAGCAGAAGGTAGAAGGTTATTTAAACGCTTCTATAACATTCCTGATGGTGTTAATCCTAAAACTCGTAGAAGTTATTTAAATGAAGCCATAGATGCATATGAAGGTTTGACATTTCATCAGAAAGTGAGAGGTTAGCAAGAATGTTAAATGTTAATATTGATTTCTATTATTGTGATCCTCAACCAGAAGACGTAGACATAAATAAGGTAGACTTTCCATTAGTGGAATCAATAATGATAGATCCAGAATTTGAAACAGTAAATATTTTATTAACACAGAGTCCATGTGGAAAACTTCACGCTGACAGAATAACAGACGTTGAAGCACTCACAGGATATAAAGTTTGCCCCTTTTGCAAAGAAGAAGTATATTCTATCCGTGATGATCCAGAAAGGAAAAACCAAAGAAGATTTTTAAAACATTGTGAGAAATGTAAAGAAAATAATGGAAGATTAATTCAAGACGTTCAATTGCAAAACACACAACAACCATATGCACCACATATCACGAAACAGAAGATATATCAATGGCTATTAGCACATAATTTGCAGGAATATTATAAACCAACAAGATATTATATTACTTTTGACTTCGAAACATTAGAGACTAAAGAAGAACTTCTACTTTCTGAATGTGCAACTTTGAACGCTTACTTAAAACCATTTATGGTATCATCAACGGTTAAATTAAACGATAAAACATATACAAGGAATTTTTGCTTAACTTCGAGTGATTCGTTCATCTCTGATTGGATTGAATTTTTATTTTCAACCTGTTCATTAGTTGCTAAATCAAATATTGAACAATATGAAGAATTAATGAAGTCCCATACATTAAATGAGAAACAGAAGGAAGCAATGAAAGAGCTTTTAGATGAGGAATTCAATAAAGTGAATATCATTGGTTTTAATTCGGGAAAGTTTGATTTAAATTTAATTCTTCGTGATTTAAACACTGCAAAATGGAAAATAAAATCAATGCTGGGTTCATCTTCACAATTTAAGCAAATCATTGTAAAGAAAACAAACGTTCCATATGAATTGAGATTTATTGACATCAGAAATTATATAGCGGGTGGGACATTAGACCAATTCACTCAAGATTTCGGAAACAATAAATCACGTGTTAAATCCTTTTTCCCATATCAATTCATCACATGGGAAAATTACGAAGAAGAATTATATAAAAAGGAACCATTCACTCAAGATTCATTTTATTCAGCATTAACACAAGAAACAATATCCGATTCAGATTATCAAATATATCTCAATGATGCTAAAAATTTTGAGAATAGATTAGAATATTTTATTCATTATTGCAATAAAGACGTTGAAATTATGATTGACCCAATTGATAAAATTATTGAAGAAACATTTGTTTATAAAATTGACATGCTCCATAATCTTTCATTATCATCTAATGCATCAATGATTCGTTACGCGTTAGCATATAAGAACTTCAATCCTAACGAAACATATCCAGAAGAAGAAAATGTGGAATCAAGTTTTGAATTAACGAAAAAGTATTGGAAATATAAAATTGAATCATATAAGAAACAAGATGAAAAGGTGAAAAGAGATACCAAAAATAATGTTTCAATGGATGACTATCAATATTTTCACGATTTAATCCTTTCATCTAAATGTAAAATGTGTGGTAAAGCGTTTACATATGCAAATAAACCAACATTGGATAGAATTGATAATGAAAAACCACATACTAAAGAAAATTGTCAGTTAATGTGTTGTTATTGCAATGTCGTAAAATCAAATAAAGATGAAGATGTTCAACGTTTAAGAATCAATTTAAGAAATTATGCATTAAAAAATAATTTACCAATGACTTTAGATTCAGTGGAAGCGTATCACATCCTCCGTAATGGAATTACTGGTGGTCTATCAAATGTTCAACATCGTGTAATCTTAAAGGAATCACGCACATTAATAAACTTTCATATAGTCCAGAAACTAAAACAGTATCAAATGAGGACACTTCCAACATCATGACTCATTTCGTTGGTGTTGATTTCAATTCATTATATCCTTCATCATTTTCATCAAATCCTCATGATTTCATTCAATACACCGATCATAAATGTATATGCCGGGAAGATTGAATGGTTTATCATTTGTGATACAGCAACAAAGAAAGCAAAAGCTTTAGGAATTATTAGAAGAAAAATACTTTATTCGTGGCTGAAGTAAAGGGTCACATTGATGAAAAATACATTAATGATTACATAAACTTTTTACCGATAATAAGAAACTTAGATATTATCACAGATGAAAAAACAATTGGTGGTTTTATGTATAATTACATGAAATCAAACAATCTACCAGTTGACCAGAAACAGAGAAAATTAACTCAGTTAGCATCAACACACAACCAATATCAACCATTTTCTTCTTATTATCTTTGGTATCTAATAGACAGATTTCATTTTATCATTGATGATATTCAATCAATTTTAACATTTACGAAAAACACTTGTTTTAATGAATTTGCGAACAAATTTATGAACGAAAGACAAAAGGCTGAATTAGAAGGAAATAAAGGAAAAAGTTTATTTTGCAAATTTCACTTAATGGATCATATGGTTACGATGCAATGAATACACAAAATTACGCAAAGACTAAAATAATGAATGCACAGAAGGCACGCGTTGCATGTATGTCAAATAAGTTTAAAAACATAAGAGAAATAGGTGAGGATACATATCAAGTGATGCTTAAAGATAGATTTTATAGATGTGATACATGTTTACAAGAGGCATTCTTCACTTTAGATAACGCAAAATACTGGTATTTGGTTTTCATTTATGATTTTATGTATAAATGCATGGATGTTAATCGTTTTCATTTCATTGAAGGTGATACTGATTCATCATATTGGGCAATCGCTGGCGACCCAAATCTTCCGAACACTCAAGCATTTCAAGCAATTGTAACCGATAAAAATTTTATGATAAAAACATTTTCAAATTCGCATCTTTTGATTTCTTCTGTTTTGATGAGAAATTTAAACCTAAATTAAAGAATAAAGCTGAAGAAAAAGCACATGAGAAGAAGTTATTGGGTTTAGCAATTGAGAAACAAGGTGATAACATGGTTGCTTTATGCCCTAAGTGTTATACATCATTCAACGGAATGATTGGTGAAGACTCCTTCAAAAAGATTGCACAAAAAATGAAAGGTGTAAGTTTACGACAAAATAAGCAATTAACACCTAAAAATTATTTGGATATAATAAATGATAAAGTGATATTTGATGGTCAAAATATTAATTTACAACTTAAAAATGGGTCAATGACTCGCTTAACAATTGGTAAGACTGCATTAACAGGAGCACACACTAAGGCTGTATGTTGTGAAAATGGATGTTGTATGCCATTTATTTAAAACACTTATTTTATTTTTATATAAATGAATAGCGTAGATTTAAAAATTTAATTGATGATTTAGTATTTAATCAAAATTTTCTTACTTATTATGATTTAAAAGCATATCTCCAAAAATATAATAACAATATAACGGGTGATGATATGGAATATTATTATCCATATTATAAAAATGAAATTTTGAAATATCATAATAAAATAATTTCTGAAATTAAAGACAAAATTAAAAATAATGAATATTCAAAGGGAAAAACTAAATCACAACTTAAACAGTTGAAAGATTTCAAAAATAAAGTATTAACAGAAGAAGATATTGATGAATTATATAAATTATATAATCCTGAGCCACAAAAACCAAAGGAACAAAAACAAAAGGTGCAAAACACCCAGGTTCAGCTCATAAATGATGCACAAGCTTTAATTTATGATTCATTAGTTAAACCACATTCAGCCCGACTTTTAAATGAAGATCAACTTTTGGAATTCATCCTTCAACATAAACTCGAAGCGGGAAAGTATATCAAACCTTTATATACAGCATATTTAAAACAAATGAATAGAATACATCCAGAATTAATGAAGGGGAATGAAATCCAAAATCAAAGCAGATAAAATTAAACCACTTGCAACACCAAAACCTCCAACACAGTACCTCCTCCTCCTTCAGTTAATCCTTCATCATTCACTTTATTATATCCATTTCAAACATTAAAGAACAAAAAGATTTTAAAAAGGTTTCAAGATATTAAATAAACCAATTGACCCGAAAATTCAACCATTAAAGAAAAATTTAGTCGTCCATCATTTGCACCTTCACCTTATTCATACGAAATCGATCATCTGGAATATTCAAAAGGAAATATTACTTATTTATTTGCCATTAACATTAACACTAGATATTTATATTGCATTCCGGTGAAAGGGAAAACAGAACAGGAAACAAGAAGAGCTATTCAATACTTACTAGATCATGAAAGAGTAGATAATATCAGGGGTGATGGTGATAAAGGATTTCAGGCACCATGACTCATTATTTCCCACAAATTAATTTTTACTTCTCATCCTCTCCATATACGTTTCATAATAAAATAGTTGATGCGGTAATGAGAACTCTTAGAGATGCGTTAGGGGTTAACGGTCAGATATACTGGGATGGAAATCATGACTCCATCATACAGCAGTTAGTATATTATTACAATAATACATGGCATAGAACTATTAACATGAAACCAGTGGAAATGAAAAATGATATTTCAAAAGAATGGGAATATATTAGAAAGCAAATGGAAAGGTTGAATGATGTTAAACATGAACAAATTAATTCGGGGCTCATGAATTTTAAACAAGGGGATAAAGTTTTGATTCATCTCGATTATGGAAAAACTGATAAATCAATGACAAAAAGAAGACGAAGATTTGACACAATAGCTGAATTTGTTAGATATATTAACGGCAATGTATTAGTTGAAGTTGACAATAAATTAATAGAAATTCCGATTTATTTTATTACTCCATTATATTTAAATAATATTTAATTTTTTTATTTCGTAAGAAATGAGTGACAACAAAGCAGTCAAGAGTCCAGACGATGAATATAAAAAGAAACTAAACAGAATTAAATCAAAAATATGTTATTACAAAAAGAAGCCGCAATGTGGTGGGGTTGAAAACGATGAAGAAATAATCGAAAAATTAGAAACTTACCGTTCAATCCTTAAACTGAGTGAAGCAAAAATAAAAGAATTTAATAGAATAAATAAATTGATTGGAAGAGATGAATTTAATAAAGATGAATTTTTAAACTCAATCCAAATTTAATTTTTATTCCTCTTCGACAACATCTCTCTTTCCATCATTACTGCATAACCACATTTTCTCAGTTTAAGTGGTTTGTTATTTTTAGCAAGTTCTCGCATCATTTTTATCATTTCCTCCCTTGTTATGATTCGTGGTAAATTTTGAGCTTGTGGGGTATTCATTTATGATAAAAATAAAAATTTGATGTTATCGTTATTTTATCATTAATTATTTTTGAAGAACTGGAGGTGCTACCATGTTACCATGTGCTACCAGGTAAACTAACTTCTTTTAAAAAATGAGACAACATGACATTTAGACAACAACATAGGAGGAAGGCAGTTATGAATTATTTTTGAAGAACTGTAGGTGCTACCATGTTGTCATGTTGACGACATGACATTGTGTCAACAACACGAGAGGAAGGCAGTTATGAATTATTTTTGAAGAACTAGAGGTGCTACCATGTTACCAGGTGCTACCAGGTAAACTAACTTCTTTTAAAAAATGAGACAACATGACATTTAGACAACAACACAGGAGGAAGGCATTTATGAATTATTTTTGAAGAACTGTAGGTGCTACCATGTTGTCATGTTGACGACATGACATTGTGTCAACAACACGAGAGGAAGGCAGTTATGAATTATTTTTGAAGAACTGTAGGTGCTACCATGTTACCATGTGCTACCAGGTAAACTAACTTCTTTTAAAAAATGAGACAACATGACATTTAGACAACAACATAGGAGGAAGGCAGTTATGAATTATTTTTGAAGAACTGGAGGTGCTACCATGTTGTCATGTTGACGA